TCCCTGTCTTTAGCCTCTTCCCAGAATTTGATAAATAGGCGATTGTTGCCACAGTTAGACAATATAGCAGATTAATCTCAGTGATTTTACTTTGATGCAGATGCTAAGAGTTTAAACCCTGCTTATTTCCACACTAGTATGTAGAGAGAAATTAAACTCGTGTCACTCCTGAGGAAGAGTATTTTCACATTGTGCTTTTATGTGTTTCTTCTCCTCTTCACCCACTGAGACTTGTTACAATAAAAATAAAACAATAAAAATTTAAGGCACTGTCATTGCAAAGTTTTATATGCTGGTAATAAAAATTGAATGAAAAGACTTACGGTACCCCCTTCCAAACAATAAACAGAAGTTACCAGGAAATACAGATAGGCTGCACCTGGGTAGGTGAGCGCAGAGCGGCCTGGAGTCCAAATACCGCCTGTGGTTTGGCGCTTTATCACCTGACTAAGAACATGGCAGCATGTGGAGATGTATGGAATTGTAGTTTCAGTGTGTGTGAATCGAGTTTCACTGGGACAGGGCCGAGGGCATTCACTTTACTGCTACCAGAAATTCGTGGATTCATTTGCACTGTAAAGACAAACTAAAATATGGTCTGCAAGCTAAAAGCACTTGCTGCCTGGCACTGTCCTGAAAAGCTCGGCCACTCTCGGAACTGCACAGCAGGGTCTCTGTCATCCTAACTCCCTCTTTTTTATGAGGTCTGCCTCATAAAAATCATCCCTCGTTCCACTTAGTGTTTCTCTCCGATGACTGATCATTTCTCCATTATATTAGGTGGACCGACTATTCGGGCCCAGACACTCCCGTCTATTAAAGTTAACCTCACCTTCACAAAAACACTCGAGGAGAGAAGTATATGCGTATGCCTTTGCCAACGCTGACTTTCTTTTCTTTTTCTTTTTCTGTGAATAGCGATGTTTAAGAAGCCGGTTGAAGAAGCCATTGTGCTGATTATGTGCTCACACAATCACAGGCATGGGGTGTACAAAGTCTTATCTACCAGCTGAGGGTCACACTGTGCTCTCTCTGACTCTGTCCCCCGAGTCCCCCGACAGCTGAGGACCCCTGTGACAGCCCTTTACTTAATCCCTTCTCGATCATGGAACAACTGGGCAGATTTAGCAGCTACCGTCTTACTTCAGGAGAGGGTCACTCGGGTCCATTTTGACAGCCATAAGCATTTAGAAACACAGGAGAAAAGATTTCGTTTTTAGTATATGAATTCTCTCTTGACTCACGAGTATTCCTGCTTGATGCTCTCCATTCCTGACTTCATCCTTCGACTGATTCTCCTCCCGTATTCGAGTTTCTCCCTCCTCTTTGTTTTTTTTTTTTTTTTTTTTTTGCTCCCTTCATCACACTTATTTCTGCTGTGTTGTATTTGTTCCTTCACCCTGCCCCCTATTGGCTATTGGTCAGAATCTGGCACACTGCATGAACTTGGCAGGCTTTGCCATCTGGTTTACCTGGGTACCATCTCTGTCTCCTGTCCTTTGCTTCAGCCCATGTGCACAGCTTCCCGTCCTCCACTCACGGGCCTCGGAAGGTGCTTTCTGCGATGACAGAGCCGCACTCCTGCATGAGAGAGAGCCCCAGGTCCCTGAGGGGGAGCTGGGGAAGTACAGGAGTGGATGTCTGTGAAAACAGGCCTCCTCCAGTTCTACTTTGCCCCTAGGGTTCCATATGCTTGTCTGCATATCGTTACCAGTGCTCTGTCTTGTTTTTCCCTACGGACCAGAGGAGGCAGCTAAAATACGGGGCACTGGAGATGTTGCAGGAACAGTGCTGTGTTGTGCAGTCAACAATTCAGTTATCGTTGAAGATGTTTACCTGGGAGGTATATAATTCACTGTCTCAGATGAGGAAGAGGAGTCTGGCTGCAACTAGCCATCCAGCCATCTTCCCATGCCCAGAGTGGGAGAGCTGCATCCCTGGCTGGGACAGTGGTCCAGTGTGGCAACTTTGGAGGCCCGTGGCAAGGAACCTTCAGCTTAGGGCTGAGTTCCAGAAGGGAATAGATTGGGCTTGGATCCTGGGTGCCCCAGGAGGCTATTATTGGCATGTCCTTATCATACAGGAAATGCTGGCTGCGTAAGGAGGCAGCATGCAGGGAGATACGAAGATGGGATTTCTGGAGAACTTTTTGTTGAGGTCAGTGGGCCAGCCAGAGGTCACGGGCAGACGACAGCTGTGCCCATTGGCTTCATTAATTCTACTTATTACTGCAGCCTGCTGAATTGTCATAATAAAACAACCAACAATAGATGATTTGAATACCCCACGTACAGATGTTCACTTTGTTGCGTAGAAACTGGGATTTTGTATTCCTCTGAATACTATTGCCTCAGCTCATGGAGTATTTCATGCTGTGGCTTTAGTCCTGTTTGTAACAGCGTTCCACGCATTAAAACAACTGTGTCTGTGAGCCTCTGGGGGATATACTGTCACCTCCACGCTCTCCCTTGTTTAAGCCACTTTTTGGTCTTAGACCCCTCCTGCTGTTTCAATAATACCATAGGCCAGTGGGCGCGGGTAACTGGAAGGAGAAGACATTTATTTTCTTGTGCTTTTTGAATGCTGGGAGTCTAAGAGCGAGGTGCCAACCCTTGGTCTCCGGGGATAGTCTCTCTGCTGCACTCTTAAATAAATGGCAGAAAAGGCAGAAGGGCAAGGGAGGAAGGGAGGAATCTCCCAGACACTACGGGGGAACCTCTTCCTGGAACAGCGCGCGCGCACACACACACACACACACACACGCGCGCACACACACAGAGAGAGAGAGAGAGAGAGAGAGAGAGAGAGAGAGAGAGAGGAGCTCAGAAGTAAGTGGTAAGTTGCATAGGGCAGGAAACAGGAGCAGGAGCAAAAGCCTGCCTTAGACCCTCAGGGAGCGAGGAAGGAGCCTGACATCCCTCAGCCACAGGTTGAGTCTTGAGGGTCTCAAAGACGGAGCAGTGTTCCCATTTGGGCAAGTCTCACTATCACATTATACAGACGCCCCGACTGCCTGGGTGTGTGGAGAGAAATGTGGCATAGGAGGAGAGCGGTGAGGAGAGTTATTGAGCCTAGGGACGATGGGGTGCCAAAGGGCAGCATCTCCCTCCTGCTTGCCACTGTAGCACGCATTTGCTCATCAGAAGGATGCCACAGAACACCTTGCACCTGGGGATCTGGAGCCATTTTTTTTTCATTCCTATGGTGACTTTTCTGGTCATCTTTGCACCAGCATTGCTGACATCATAATCTTCTGAATCTTTCTGTTTCCTGGTTGCTGCAGTGTTGGCTTCAATAGGGCAGCATTGCTGAGGCTGTGCAGCGTATCTTGTTCCTGGTTTAAATTTCACTGTCGTAATCTCTCCAGGCACCTTCCTCTTCACTCTGTTATACTGAAATTGGGAGGAGACTCAAGCCCATGAAGCCACAGCCTTTCCAAATTCTGCTTTGGTTCAAGAGGATATGAAGGGTCTCAGGATGATGTACCTCGCAATTATAGGCTCTCATTATTATTATTATTATTATTATTATTATTATTATTATTATTATTATCTACAGCCTGCTCAGGTACTCTCTGTGTTAAAAAGCACACTGGGCTCCTGCACAGGATAGGAGGTTGCTATTCCCTTCCCATCCTTCCTTCCTTGGGAGGCTTCAATGCCTGTCTAAGAGTTTAGTCATTGACGGCTCCTTCTGTGTGTTTTCCTGCTCTATACCTATCAGGTTTTTGATTGGGACTTCAGCCTACCTTGTATGGTAATTCACACATACACCTGTTTTTGCCACTTGTTTGGGTACTCTTCCAGATGGGGAAGTCCATGGTGTGTATGGACAGTTATTTAACACATCCTAATGAGTTGATTTCGTTTTCCCTTAAGGATTAAACATGTTTGGGATTTAAATAAAAGGATTGAAGATAAAGAAATTACTAATTTAAAAAAAAAAACCAACAGCAGAGAAAGCAGTAGTAATCTCAAGGACGATTTGTGACTCACCATGTTGGTGAGATCCTGGAGAGCTTTGAGCCTTGGTTGTCACTTAGGCTTTTAAAAGCATAAAAATGACTCCCTTGCCTTCCTACTAAAGCTTCGGTCAGATGAAATGAATCGTTACATCTGAAGACGTTCTGAACAGAATTAAATTGTTTTCAGAATAAAAACGGCATCGTTTGCGACTGGGGGCAGGGTGTAGCTCCATTAAAAAAAAAAAAAGTACTTGCTGTAAAAACATTAAGGGCTGATAGTCAGAATCCAGGAGAAAGCTCCCGGTGCATTGGCATGTGTTTGTCATCTCAGAGCTGGGGCAGTTTACAGATTTTTAGAATACACTGTCCAGATTAAGTCATCACTGGCTAAAGACCCTGTCCCAACCCAAAACTTAAATAACAACAAAAACAAAGCAAGCATGGGCAGCTCACTCCTGAAGAACAGCACTGGAGGTGGCCTCTGGAAAGGAAGGAGGGAAAATAAATAGCTACCTCCTTCTCCTTGGAGGACCCTGGTGTGCCTCTGACACCTGAGAAGAAACCTCTCCTAGGGAAAAAAAGGGATGGGGATTGATTGCCCAATCCCAGGCAAACATATGTCCTGGCATTCTCTCAACCAGGTGTGCCAGCACACACAGGACCGTGTCTACCACACACATACAAATTGCAATGTTTTATTCCATTTCCGTAGTCCCAGTATTTAAGGGAAACATAATAAAGGTTTAGGAACCCCCCCACACACACACACACTGCATTGTGCCATGTAAACAATGGGTACCTCTAGCATTTGATTTCTGGCTTAAAATTCAGTTCGCGCTCCAATAGTATTCCCTGCACATACGTAAACAAGTAAACATAACTTGTCTAAAGGGGGCCGTTTTACAATCTAGAAGCCAATTCCAGTGATCTGGGAGATTTTTCTTTTAAGTTTGGCCCACCTGTTCTATGGGGACTTGGAGACTAACATCCCTTCTCTCTAATTCCTGCATAACCCAGACCCTGCAATTCTTCCCAGGTTTCCACCTCTATCACAAGCTGCCCACCATCGTGCCCGAGAGCTGCCTTCTCATAATGGTTGGACTACTACTGGGTGGGATTATCTTTGGTGTTGATGAAAAGTCTCCCCCAGCCATGAAGACGGACGTGTTTTTCCTGTATCTCCTGCCACCCATCGTTCTGGACGCTGGCTACTTCATGCCCACTCGCCCTTTCTTTGAGAACTTTGGCACCATTTTCTGGTACGCTGTGGTAGGCACGCTGTGGAATTCCATTGGCATCGGGGTGTCTTTGTTTGGCATCTGCCAGATCGAGGCCTTTGGCCTCAGTGACATCACGCTGCTGCAGAACCTGCTTTTTGGCAGCTTGATCTCAGCTGTGGACCCCGTGGCCGTGCTGGCTGTCTTTGAGAACATTCACGTCAACGAACAGCTCTATATCCTGGTCTTCGGCGAGTCTCTGCTTAACGATGCCGTCACTGTGGTGAGTAGTAAACAAGTGCCCGGAACATCACTGAGCGTGTGTGGGTCACCTATCACTCACGTCTTAAAAGGCTTTGCGGGGTTATAAACAACCAAGATTCTCTTGCTCTACGTTGACAACATGATGTGACATTAAATGTAGGGAAGCATTTCCCCACACGGCAATGGAGACATGCATTCTATAGTGAACATCAGCTGACTTCCCTCTATGGCAAATCATTTCTGATACACTCTATCTAGAGATAGTGTCAGGCACACAGGCTGAGGCCTCTGTCCCCCAGACTGTCTCTTACCCATCTCCAGATGGTAACTGATGGTAACTGCAAACCTTAGTTCGATCCACTCATGATTCTGAACAAAGGGCTCTACAGTACGAGTTTTCACGCCACCTTCTTGCTGGAGTAGCTCACAAGGCTCATGCACATTGGTTTAGTGTATTGATAATGCAAAAGATACACATGGAGGCGGTATCCAGCAAAAGGGCATGAAGGTTCGTATCAAACTCCCATGTGTTCAGCTATCCAGGAGCCCTCTGAATATGTCCCCTTGTGTTCTTTTAACACAGGCATGATTGATTACATCATTGGCCACAGGTTATTAATTTTACCTTCCACCCTTATCATCCTGTGCCAACAACCACGAGAATGGGAGATGAGACGGAAAGTCTCAAGCGTTGAACTTTGCCTTGGTCCTTCCAGTGCTCAGATCTCATCTTGCTGAATCTGCCAGCCATCAACCGGTCATTAGCTTGCAAAGATACTTGTCACTGAAGAGAGTCTAAGGATTTTAGTAACTATGTATCTGAGGAGGGTTGGAAAATTGAGTACATATTTCATAATATCAGAGCCCTTCATTTGGATTGATGGGCATATGTTGTGACCTTGAAATTCTTAATACACATTTTAATTAATTACCCATATTTTATTTATTATGGCACATTTAGCTTCTTTCTTTCGTTTTTCACTAGGCCCTACAAAGAGTGTACAGCTGGCACCTTAATAAAATACAAAGCGCAAATACAAGATTAAGGAGCATAAACATGATTGTGGACTTTGTATCTCTGATGGTTGACCTCTGTGATGTTTTTTTAAGCGTAATTGTCTTTGATAATAGTTCAAGGGATTTCAGATTTCTGTGAGAAGTAATGACATTTATATATATATATATATATGTGTGTGTGTGTGTATAATATATATATAGATGAATACTAATATACAAAACTTGTAAAGTGACATTTACTAGGGAATGTTCTCTCTGGAAGAAGTGATGCCATTGGTATATATAAGACGTATAATGCATTATAATATCTGCTCATAAACAACACTTGAAGTGATGTCTACTATGGAATGTTCTCTCTGGGAACATTGTGACTGCTGTTGATGGCTGTCGAGAATTTTTTTTTTCTCAGATGCCCACCTTCTGCTCCTACCCATGGCCCTCATCATCTTCCCATAGGCAGACTTTTATTTTTACAGAGCACTTATAACCTTAATTCTCTCTTAAACGCCACATACAGGGTCCAAGGCAGCTGTGATCTTAACTTCAGCAGAATTCACTTCCGCCTTCTGAACTCTGGCAAGGGGTGGTGGGCTCAAGAAGAAAGGGCCTCCCCGGATGCAGGGGCCTTTAGAGAGATCTCCCTTCTGTAGTTACAGGCAAACGATCCTGCCTCGGTAAACCATTTAGTTGGCAATAGTGAGGGTTTAAGGGTGACAGCCATTGACTCTTACTGAATTCTTCCCTCAAGATCAGCTCCTTAGCCAACCTATAAAAACGGTACCACATTATAGATGAAACTGAGGTGGACAGGCTAAAGCATGTTCTCCCCATTAGCTCTTACCCTTCAAATGTTATTCATGACTCATTTGACAGCGTGTACGGAAACAAGCATGATTCTCTGTTAGTTGTATTTATAGCTGCAAAAGCAGATCCCTGAACTAAATAAAACATTCTTCTTGCCTGGAAGGATGTTCATTAACTCTAGCTGGATAGTATCATGGAGGAAATAATTTGATAGCTCCTAAGATACTTTTAAAACAACAGGTTAACTTAGGCAAGAACAAAACTTAATTTATACATTCTATTATTTATTAACGGCGATTTGTCATTAACTTTTGTATTAAGTTTTAACTAGGAAACTGCATAACAGCAAAAACATTTTATCACTCACTCTAATTTCCTCAGGATTCAGGTATTCCATTGGAACTTATATTTATATGTAAATATTACCCTTGCTGGAGAGGATTGTGGACCCGTGAATGTGGAACTGTTGGAGTGAACACATAAGGAAATAAAGACACCTTGCTGGATCCCTTCTAAGGGATCTCAGCAAAAGTTAGGCTGGTTTCAGAGCCACAGGCAGTTTCTATGGCCTTCCTACAACTCAGAAGATGCCTCGTCCAGCTAGATTTCAGGAAGGGATCTGGCTAACTCACTGTCCAAAGTGTGCAGATGCATGGGGGATACAGAGGCACATCCTGCCCCTGCTCCCAAGGATGCACAGCCGTGAGCTGCGCTCTGAAGGGAGATAGATGGCTGCCCCTGGGAAGGCAAGGAAGGAACAGAGGAAGAAGCACATTGTCGTGTGTAAAAGTGGAAGTAGCCCTGTCCACAACCAGAACCAGCAAGCCTCGTGGTTTTCTGTGGGAGGCCACGCCGTGGCTTGCAAGCTCCTTTAAAACATACTCTCGTGGAACATTAGAATTGTCCCTCAAGACTTGCTCACCTGGCGGCAAATAACAAACTGCCTAATGTTTCCCTCATTGACTAAATACCACACCGAGTGAGATTTATGCTAGGGACACCTAGAACAATGGCGTAAACCATTGTGTTCTAGCCAGATTCCTTCTAAGGCAGAGTTGGGACGTTTTACCTAAGATCAAACCCCCCATGCTATCTATCACCAAAGGGTAAGGTAAATCAGAACCGAGTATAGCAATGGCACACAATTGAAAAATTAAAACCAAGTTTTAGGATTTTAATGTTAAACCGTCTTGATATTTTGTGAAAATATTTCAAGTCCAAAGACTGTCCAAGGACCTAGATATAAAGAGACATCCTGCTTTTTTTCCACCGTGGTCTGTAACTTAGTCTCACATGGTCACGTTTAGCATCATGACTAGAACACAGTGCACCCGTTGAGTGTTCTAACAACGTCCCCAAGAAGATTCAAGGAGCTTCCTGGAATGCTTCCCAGTTAGCTACCTGCAGGTAGGGTTGGTAAAGGACAGCTGTCTTTGAAGACAGAAGTTAGTGCTGCATCTTGGTGCTAAGTTACCATGGGCTGTGGGGTGGAACGTCACTTAAGGCAGATAAGCACGGAACATTGTGTGCTCAACCTAGATTTACAAGTCACAGGGTTACCTGAAATCCATGATATAAAATAATTATGCTTTGAGTTTTACAGCAAGGTGAGCTGCATGCTATGTTTATGGAATAAGCAACTGTATTTATATAACTTGTTTTATATATTTTAACTGAATCACCACACATTTTAAATCCAAATTTAAGTCATTTAATTCATAATTTGCACAATGCATATTTAAATATTCATAGCAAATGAACCTTAGATCATATGACAGGCCTGAGGGCCTGAGAGTACTCAGTCATCATATTGGCCTATTATTAATTTACTACAGAGGTGCCACTGGAGTTTTAATTTCTTAAAAATACATGTCAACTTTCTGGCCAACATCTGAGATACTTCACACACACACACACACACACACACACACACACACACACCATTATCTACACATGCACACATATATAAATTAAAACCCACTTTTCTACAGATTATCTCAGGTAAAATTAAAGAATTTAACTGAAATGAACTATGTATGTGGTTATAATTAGTTGCACAAGATTAAACATAAAACAAGTTGGCTCTTATAGAGGCTTTCTGATGCTGCTTAGGCCTTGCCATTTCATCCAACATGGCACTGGTATCTTTGGCAGTGAACTGGTCAAACTGGACCTTTTGTCCATCACCCAAATGGAACGCTCCTGTGATTCAGCTTCTCTCTTTCAGAGCAATACTTGGAGCAGGACACCCTTTGATAATGGATGTGTTGAGTGGCTAGGAAAACGATTTTGAAAGGGTCATGACTGTACAGCTCCGTTGACAACAGTTTTCATGTACAAGGGCCCCACGTGGTCCTGTCAGTGTGATAGATGGAGGGGTAATGGAGGAGCAGTCTGCTTCTGGCTCCCTCTGGAAAGTTTTGTTTTGTTTTGTTTTGTTTTGTTTTTTTTGCCATGTTGGAGGAGACATCATACCCATAGGGAAGGCAGCCGGCACAAAATGGCAAGGGCTATGTGGTTTGGGGTCCGTCTGTGTGTTGCGGGTCAGAGGAAAGGACAGTACCCAGAGGCTGTAGTAATCCATGAGGACTCCTGGGAATCCTGGCGGCTCCGGGAATGCTACCTTGGAAGCTCAGGGTTAGGAGCTTGTCACGGTCAGGAAAGGAAAGCATAGGCAGAAATGGGGACATGCGTGTTTTGTAGAACAGTGGGGGAAATTCTGCTCCTGACGTTTAAGGGTATTGTGGAAATCATTAAATGAGGAAGAAAGGAAGGAAGGGACAGAGGGGCTGAGGGAGGAATGGGGAGAAGAAAGAAAAGAGAAGGAATGGGAGGGAGGGAAATATCCTTGTATATTGCGACTGTCAGGTCTTCCCAAAGTCAGGAAACTAAAGATTTTGGCTCTTGGGAATAGAAATGGGCCCCCAATAGGTAGGGTAGATTGGGAGACATTGGCTCACTGGTGCAGGCTGCAGGCAGACAGAGTCGAGCTGGTAGAGTCAAGGCCAGAACTATAGAGTATCTAAGTAGAACTGGAGGGAGGCAATCTGTGCAAAAACTGAACTGGCCTACCACTGAACACTCAATGCAGAAATCCATTGGGAAAAAAAAAAAAGCATTGAGAAAAGCTACTTCCGAGACAATGGTGGCAGTCACCTTTGTCTTTGGTAGTTTGGAGGCAAGAGAGGCATATGTTACCTCTTAAACCCTGCCAGGGAGCAGTGTGATGCTACTGTATTTGGATCCTGTAGCAAACTTATGACCGCAAGCAGGAATTGCTGCCTCCGCCGGGCATCACAGAAGACAGAAGTCCTAACAAAGTGCTGGTTGACCCCCAAGGAGCTTGCAATCCAGAAGAAAGGAGCAAATGTTTCTGCCAAGCCTCTAAGGCGATACACTCTATAAACAAGGTGGAGGTTGTGGTGTGGCATCCACTGGGACACGGTCTGATTATCAGGAGCTGGCTGCCTCATGTGTCCATGTTGATTGAGACCTTATGCAGGCCAGAAAATCAGTATTCTAACATCGCCTCTGACATTTCGTGCCATGCGATTTTACAACATTTTTGACTGATTTTGACTTTCTTAGAAGTCGAGCGAAGGTACATCCCAGCCTTGTGTTCAATGCCCTCACAAGTCGGCTTTCGAAAATCCTGAATGCCCAATAGTGGTAAATTCCACAGTGCCAACCATTCAGGAAATGTGTTTGAGTTGACCTTGACTCTCCATCTGTGGGAAAAAGTGGGAGCCTTCCTCCCATGTGGCGCTGGGGCTTCCACACATGGGTAAAAACATACCGCCCAGCGAACACGGAGTAGATTTCTTGAGGTCTTAATTAAATCAAGACTGCCCCAAAACCAAACAGGAGCGTATCCATTACTTTATAAGCATAAAGTGTGTGTGAAGGTATACCACATATACAGCACATAAGTTCACACTCCAAGTATATATGGCCTTTTCACTTTAAGAAACATCCCTGGTACTTTATACCAGGCACACTGCATATGTAGGTAGATCAAGGAGGCAGGATATGAGTGAAGAAGAGTTTCCTAGAAGGAGGAATCCTTTAATGGGGTCCCTGCTAGAGAGTGTGCCTGTCCCATGTCATGACTGTCTGGCAGGACTTTGTAAAGTAAATGTATGTTCACAACAGTCTGATAAGTTTCTCTATGACGTGTGACTACTGAGCAATGGAAATATGAGCAATGCATGGCAAGCAAGTGTTTTAAAATATCCTTCCAGGTGGCGGCTGGGAAAAAAAAATAATGTTTCAGGAATAATTTCGCGAAAGCTTTGCAATGTCCTCTTCTTCACTGTTTTATAATAGTTTATCTGGCAAGACACCAAGATACTTTTTGCCAACGATTTTATTCAAAGCCACAATATTATTATGTGTGCAAATAACTACACAGTGATTTCCTCTGACACAGAACAAATCTCCTTTTTAGGAGACTTTTCCTCTGTGTCCAGGATGATCACAGGGAAAACTATGGAGAATATTTTTATTCTTTCTCATGTGTGTGCATGTGTGCATGTATGTACATGTATGTGGGTGTGCACATGAAGGAGGAGGGTGAACACTGGGAGTTTTCCTCCATCCATCCCCAGCTTATTTACTGAGTCAGGACCTCAAAGTTGACCCTGGTTTGATGGCCAGCTGGCTTCTGAGATCCCCTGTTTCTGCCCCCTGTGGTTGACATGCAGGCCTCCATGCCAACTCTGAATTTGCAAGGGTGCTGGGAATTCAAACATGGATGCTCACACTTGTGTGACAAGCACGCCATCCATTGGCGTGTCTCTGGCTCCAGAGGAACTGACAGTATGATCCCTCATTTCCCCCAGGTCCTGTACAACCTGTTCAAGTCATTCTGCCAAATGAAGACCATCCACACCGTCGATGTGTTTGCGGGCATTGCGAACTTCTTTGTCGTGGGAATTGGCGGGGTGCTCATCGGCATCCTCCTGGGATTTATAGCAGCCTTTACCACCCGTTTCACCCACAACATCCGAGTCATTGAGCCGCTTTTTGTCTTCCTGTACAGCTACTTGTCCTATATCACAGCTGAGATGTTCCATCTCTCAGGCATCATGGCGTAAGTGTCTCTCCACTAACAGTCCTTGATTCGTGCGTTGTATTGGACTTGTACATTCAGGGATTATCAAAGTTGACCGAGTTATGAAAAAGACTAGATTTTCTTATCCTGAGAGCAACTAGAATGTGATTTTCTTAAACCTTTTGCTACATTGAAATGAAAGGATGTATTTTCCAATTTAATAAGCTGGAGCTGACCTGGAAAAGGTGCTAAAGTGAATTCTTGAGTTTCCTATGAAATACAACAATGAACTTGATTGTTACTCTGGATCAAACATCAGCATTTTATGAGTCTGATCCCCATTCAGTGGGCTCTGTGTGGGAGGCTGCAGAATACTCCAACTAGGTTGCATTACCTAAACTGCCCGTGGAGTTCTAGAGAGGTTTTCTGCATCCATTTGAATGTTCTTACTCACAGTAGGTTTGTCGGCCATAGTTTAATCTCATTTAATTACAGGATGCACTGGGTAAGATCCTGTCATTTCTTATGGATCATTTTAATAAGGAACTGAAATTTTTTGATATAGGGTTTAAATTATTTTTGAAATAAGTAATAATAATTTACTTATTAAAGATACAGTTGCTGTCTCATTTACTAACTCGGACGAAGGTTTTTAAAAGCTTGGGTGTGTGAGCCGCCAATTGGTAATGTTCAGGTCATCCTGGCCTTCAGGACGTTATGCTGAAGGAAGCTAGTCAATAGAGTTTCCCCCCAAACATGTGCATTGTATGATGGTCACATTCCCTCTAGGGCAAAGAAAAACATCTTAGGTTGTGCAATTCCCCCCCTGACCTGATGTAGGTGGGTCTTTGATTAAAGAGTGTTTGGGTTCACGTCCCTTGGCAGCAGTCTCATTTGAGAAGCAAATGGAGTCTGTGGTACTAGGAGGCAACGGGAAGTTGAACTGGCTGTCATACAAAGCCACGAGCTAAAGGTTGGGTGGTTTTCCGTTTCAAAGAGAGCCTAAATAAAGCAACGAATTAATCCAGTTTGACCCAGTAAGAAGACATTCCTGGTTGCTATTCATATCACTGTGTGACTTCCAGTGTCCCCTCTGATCTTTGAACGTGTGACCTGCTAGTTACAAGGTCTGTCACAGCCTATGGGCTGGGCCTTGCGTCTGATTTCTGAGCAGGCTTGTTCTAGACACAGGTTCTTAGGGAACCTAGATTTCACAGTCGTACTCTGGACTGCGTGCATGTCTAGAACACTCAAAGTAGCCATCTGGGATTAACTGTTTTGTACGATGGATGTTCAAAAGTGGAGATGGGAGTCCCTGAAGATACTGAGTGGCTGAAAGTTGCTGGAGGGTGGAAGTGGGTGAGGAAGGATTGGAAAGGATGCTTGGAGTATGTGGGGCCTACCCCTCCCCCAAATCGCCACCAACTGGTGACCAAGTATCCAAATGCCCCAAACTTGTAGAGGACATCTCCTTCAAACTACCACATCTACACTGGGCCAACATAATGAAAGTACCAGTAAGTACAAAAATAAGAGACTCTAAGAAACCAAATTCCCTTGCACAGCCATTATCCTCTGAGGGTAGATTACAGGACATATTTATATCAACACACCAGTTTTCTCAGAAGTAAGGCTCTGTGTTCTAATGGTCAGCATGCTGCTCAAATCCCACATGGGTGTGAGTACCCTCACAGGCGCATTTGCAAGCACTCTCCTTGGAGCTCATTGTATGAACTCCGGGGCTGTAGTATTTAAAAAACATTATTTTCAGCTGTTTAGGGACACGGGGCATGTGTGTCTTCTATCTCGGCATTTAGAGAGTGAGGCAGAAGGACCACCATGAGCTGGAGGCCAGCCTGGAGGACAGAGTTCTCACATCCTGTGTCAAAAGCCAAAACCAGAGAGGCCATCCTTCTCATCCCCCACTTACTTTCTAGGCGGGCGGACAAACAGTGGGGCCAACGCTGGAGATAATCGAGGCTGGGTTTCAAAGCTGGTGGCTAATCATCCTTCCCTCCAACCACACTTCCAGTTCTGTAGGAGGTTGTACTGGCGGGGTGACAGCTTCACCATGCCAACACAACTTCGTTCATTCGTAGGATGAAGCCAATGAGCCTCCAGCTTGGCTGACTTAAGAAAATCAGTACATTTCCTGAAAGGGCCTGGTGGCACTGCTGGGCTCCTTCAGAGTTGACACAGGTTCAGGGCAATGTACTGATGATTGGGAATGTCACGCAGAAGGAAACGTGCAGGCGTAGCTGACTAGAAGGAAATTACATTACCTGGGCTGTGCTCCTGAAGGGGGATCCTGGGGCACAAACTTCCTGGCATTTCCCAGCCACCATAGGGCAGCTTCCCCGACACACACACACACACACACACACACACACACACACACACACACACACACACACTGATATACTTTCCCACGGGCTCAAAACAATAGGGCCAGGTGACCACAGACTGAATCCCTGGGCCCCAAATCAACATCTCTTCCCTTTAGGTTGTGTACCTCACATTTCTATTTGATAGACACCCATCCAACACAGAGAGTCAAGGTCTACTTTTCCAGTGACCTATTGGGCACCCGAAGCTGACTGATGGCCTCGCTTTGATTTTAAAGGCCTCGATGTGCATCTCACTTATTCTCTGCATGGAGAGGTCTCAGCCTGGTTGGCTCTGAGGACGGCTGTGTGAAGCTCCTCTCTCTGCCACTGAGACTCCTCTAACCCTCGTTCTCTGCACCTCTCTGTGCGTCTCCTCTCCCTTTGCCCCGGCCAGAGCTCTGAGTTTTCAGCGTTCCCTAGAGATCTGGCCAAGTGGCCGAGCCTGCCTTCCCACGTGTCCTCACACTTAATCCCTAGCTATTTGAGGTAACCGGAGTCATCTGGTGCCCTTGTAGCCAGGTGTCCAGTTCAAACAGGATAGCAAAGCTGTGCTAGCAAGAGGCATGGAAACAAGCCACAGGAAGGGAGGATTGCTGGGTTATGGGAATAAATAGACTCCTAACAAGGACAGGTACATATCACTGCGGACGAGACTCCAAGGATTCCCATGTTCACCAAAACCTTTGTCAGCACTGCCTTCCTTTGTGTCATGGTTAGCTACAAAGGAAGGCTTAGGTAGAAATTGGGTTTTATGTTTCTGCAACCCCATTGCTAGAGAGTGAGGGAGATCTATCCAGCCAGGTCCTATTAGGGAAATTCAAGGGAAGGACAGTGACTGGGACACCATTTTGGATGGAACCAAACTGTGTATGCACCATCCCTGTTTGATGAAAAGTGAGGCCTGTCGCCAGCATAAGGCTGGGAATTTAAAATTTACAGCTGGCTTTGGCTGAGACAGCCACCCAATCTATGCCGACTCCATGTTACCAGGAGGGAAAAATATCACTTTCTCAATAGGGTAGAAATGATGAGATCTCACTGATAAAAAAAAAAAAAAGAAGAAGAGCATGTTGGGAGGATGGGAAAGAATAAGGAAAGCCTCCAGGATGAGAGGCTGTGGGGTGTCCATGGACCTGCTCTCTGAGAAGGAGAGGAAAGCCGGTTCTCACATCTGCCGTGTAGGTATCTATCTGGGACCCGTCCTGTGTTTTTTCCACCTGTTATAATGAATGCAGAAGCAGGCGTGTCCATGTCCCTTTTACACCACTATTCCCCATGCAACTGACAGGATAACTAATGGTTCCGTGGGGTAAAAGCCAGAGGTCACAGCCCTAAGTTGGCCAGCTGCCTCCAGGGCTAAGGAAGGCTCCCCAGGAGAGGATATACAGCTGATAGCAGCAGGAAGGTGCCTGACTGGAGACTGGGGGTGGGGGAAGGGGAACAGCTGGAAAACTCAACTAAAACACAGTAGCCCTCAGATCCTGTGTTAGCCTTTGGGTCCCACCTTCCAATAAAACATAAAGTACGATGATTCCTGTAAAATATTATAAATGCATGTCTTTATAATATGTGTGTAAGTTTGTAAATATGCACTTATACATGTGCTTACACAACCAGACATCTGTCTGCCTCCACCTCCTGCTTTCGATTCTGATGCTAGATCCCTTTGGTCATGCCCAAAGAGCCAAGGAGCCCGAACTTGGCAGCAACTCAGGTACAGAATCATGAGAGACTAACATGAGCCTATGCTCTCCCAAAGTGCATTCTGATAGAAGGGAAATACAGTCTGCAGAAGGCCAGCTTTATGGGATGCTATACTGGATTCATGGCCTCCTACAGAAGAAGGAAACCGTTGAAAGAATTTTCTATTCACAGATAGTCGAATGACAGATCATTTTAAGTAAAAACTCTGTCTTCCCCTTGAAGACCTTGTTGAGGGAGTATTAGCCAGCCTGATCTGTGCCTATGCTATATTTTAAGCTACACAGGGATGAAGACGACCTCAATTGCTGCTAAAAGCAAAACCCACTAATTATAGTGATTTTACTTTTCCATCTCTAAATTGGTGATAATCACCATACATTTATGTTAAAGCCAGGCAAGATAATCACAAAGCAGTATGTCTGACCTCTATGTGGTCTCACACAATGAAACCTAACACCTGTCAAAACACGTCCATGTTTTGGTGTGTTACATAGGCCAGGTGCTGGAGTGGGTTTTGAAAGTGAAATGACAAGCTATGGAAGGAAACAAATTATCTGCATCGTTTTGGAATGCACCCTTCCAAATCTGTCCTCTGCATATGTGACACCCTTCCAGAGGTTTTTTTTCCTAGAGTATAATTTTGTTCATATCAAAGTACTATTCCTGTTAAGAGTATATTCATCTAGGGACTGAGTCAAGATACATTCATGATATGATAAACATAGACAAAGCAAGGGACACTTTTCTTGTTCCTAATGGACTTAGAAGAAATAGAGGTAGGGACAGAGATGATGGGGACTGGAGGGGTCAGTTAGAGCCAAATATGTAAATCTCAACCTCCCAGACTGTCTACAGAATCAAATAGAAGCTCTTGATTGTTATGTATAACTACCATTTTCTGACCTTTGCCTTCTTCATTGATCTTTGATGTTTCCATTTCACTCTCCTCTGGCTACCAGAATATTCCAGTAGTTATCTGAGCATGCCAACCTCTTTCTTTCAAACTTCTGTACATGTCCATCTGCTTTTCTTGAATTAAACTTATTTGTCGGTGAATTCTACCAGTTGAATATCATAAATGACTACAAACAACAGTGGCATCGTGTTGACTGGGGCAGACCTCTATCTTGTTATAACGTGTGGAACAGAAGGTGATGGTCACTTACACAATGCTTACATTGTATTTGACACTATAAGTTGTCCAGATGTAGTTTAGAATGTACAAGTTGGGGGTGCTTAGGTTATGTTCAAATGCTCTCATTTTATGTAAGGGACTCGTGTATCACATTCCATTATCAGTAGGGGGCCTTCAAAATGCAAGATTGCGGGCACCGAAGGGAAGTTTTACTTTCCTGCTATTCTTCGTTCTTGGTTGGCCTCTTACTAACGACAAATGTGTATAAATGCACACTTCTCTGTGGTTTAACTAAAAATTTACTTCTCTAAAATTCTACCATATCCCTTCTTTTGATTTAGTATTATTTATCCTTTGGCAATTCCATATATGTACACAATACATCCAACTTCTTTTGAAGCCCTTAACATCACATCCTTCTCCCAACTTCATGTCCTTTTCTTTATCTCGAAATATATATATATATATATATATATATATATATATGTATACACACACACATATATATATACATATATATATGTATATATATATAAAATCCTAGACACCAAGTATGTACATATGGCTGAAGGGCCACCAATTGGGACAAGCACAACCTACCAGCGACTAAATCTTTGAAGAAAACTGATTCCCTCTTCCCCAGAAGCCATCAACTTCTCATGAGCATCTCCCACTCCATGCTGGTTTATTGACTGGCTTGACCTTGATGAGTTCTTGTGGAGGTAACCACAGCTCCTGTGAGCTCCTGTGTAATGGCCTCAGGTCTAGAAGACACTGCCAACACACCCTTTCTGTTCCTGTGTCTAGCACCAGCAATGTTGTACAGCATGACCATTCCTCCCCTTAGACTAGGAGCTTTTGAAGGATGAAACTGTGCCAGAAACTGTGCCAAACTTGCCTTCATCTCCACGGACCAATCACATTGTAATGACTGGTGTTTGTTAAGTTGCTTCCCATCATGGACTAAATATTAATTTCTGCCTTCATCATGTGTTTATTGCTTAAGTAATAAGGAGGCCATGGTTGGGGAGGGGTGGGTAGCCTATATTTATACAGCATCATTCTAGTATTGCAGAAATGCTTCTCAAATGATGGTTAAAAGCTTTAAAAGCCAAGAAGGGAAGGAATTGAGTATGGGCTGAAGAACCACAGAGCTTCAACTTGATAGTGGTTGGTGCTTCCCTTTATAAAGAAAAGTAACTGGGGGAAATTGGGTAACAAGTACTTGGTATCCACCATTCTCCATATTTGTCTGTATATTTAAAAATCTCCCTGATCTTAAAGCACCCTGCCCACAGGATTAGAATATTTTAAGAAGTAATATGGCCATTATAAATCATATCCAAGTTTTCTACTTTCAGTCTTGAGAAGAGAAACTCATCTGTCCTCATTGCTGAGCCCCTCTTCCCTATAAAAGGCTGCGACCCAGAAAAATTATAATTTCAGTGTAGCCTTTGCCTCATTATCTTGAACTGGGGAATATTAATTTCTGAAAATATGGTTTTAAAAATTGAAGTAAGCTGAGCCTGGTGGTGTAGATCTGTAAATCCAGCAACCCAGAGGATGAGGCAGGAGGATTTCAAACTCAAGGCTGGCTGATACACTAGAGAAAATTTAAGGCCAACCTAAGTGAGACCCTATGTGGAAATTACAAGGGTTATAAATGAAGCTCAGAGGTGAGTATTTACCTAGTATGCAGAAGCCTGGGATCTAATTAAGTGAAAATCATGAAAAGATCTAGATTTCTGATATGTAATTAACCAAGGGTAGTCAAAGACGTCTACATCCTAATTCGTGGAACTTGCTAATCACTTACATTCTAAGACAAATGGGATATTGCAGATGAGATTTGACGAGGCTGTTGAGCTGCGGAAATTGCAATAACAATAGTCATATGGGCTGTAATCACAGGACCCTTATAAAAGGGAGTTAATCATTGTCAGAATCGGGGATGTTAGAGGCAGAGCCATGTGGCCACAAGCCAGAGATTTTAAGCAGCCTCTAGAAGGTAGAGCAGAAAAAAAAACAGGTGGGGGAGGGGGAGACAGATTCTCCTTGGAAGCTTCCAGAAGGAGCACAGCTCCGCCATGATTATTTTAGCCTAACTAAAAGTATTTTCGATTTTGATTTATGGGAGAGTGAGATGATCAAACAGACTGAGCAGCACTAATTTCTTACAGTAGAGGGACAGGGCTCGACAAGGAGTCTCCCACAGACCATTGGACTCACTAAGAACTCCTAGGACTGAGGGTCAGGTCTACAACAGTACTGGCTTCCACCAGACTCCCTGGCCGAACACCTGGGCACCACCATTTACTAGCGGCGAAGTATTGAGTCCACCTTTGTTCTCCCATTTACGAACATGGGGGGGGGGATAATAGACCTTGCCTCATAAACAGGTTATGAGGATTAGTCGACACAACCCGTACAAAGTGTTTACTCAGTTCCTGGCTCCGAGGAAAGTTCTCCAAACACGAACCTGCATTGAATAAGCCTTCAGCTATGCAGAGGCTTTGCCATATTTGCGGCTGCTCAATTTTATTAGCCCATTTCTAAGGCCACCCTTTCTTTTGGAGACTGTATGAATTATACATCCTTCACCCATGCAAATCTAAAAGGAACATTTTTTTTTTTCTTGTTCTGGTGGTGGCAGAGTCCTTGCAAAGGTGGAGTGTTGTTTGTCTTGTTTTAATATAAAAGTATTCAGGTGAGGGGTGGATCTGTTTGTTGCAAGGGCATGGGATTGTGATTACCCCCTGACTCTGATCTCAGAGCCTCTTGCATTTGCATTATTCAGAAGTCCCGTGTCTTAAGAGGAAGTTTTCCCTACAAACACATTTCGTGGGTTAAGGAAGCCCACTATAGAGGCCGTGGGCCACACATGCCTCATTGGTGTGGCCCTGGGGTTGAATCAGGTCCACCATGACTGGGAGTTGTTTATGCCTTGGCTATCTATCACTCAGTGCAAGCTGGGGGTAGCTCACTAGAGTCCCGCCATCCTGTTTTCAGCCCATTTTCACAATGAAGTACTTTGGCACTATCTGCAGGGACCATCTCTCTTCTTAGAGGACTTGGTGCATACTTGTCATCTACATCACACTACATTTCCATCGTTGGGCAGCATTTGAGTTGGTTGGGAGGGGGGTGATATCCTAGGCTTACATACGCTAGTCAAGAACATGGCATGCTTTGCGGGCAGTCGGGGTATGAGGTGTGTGCCAGGTAGAGTGAGAAGCGTGTGAAACCGTGTGCCCCAGCGAGGGAAACACGTGAGGAGTGTGAGTACCCACCTTGCCAGCACGACTCTGATCTGACTGTTCTCTGAGGCGTGCAAAGATGCCACGTCAAAAACAGCTACCGTAAGGTAAGAGAGATAGGACACAGTGGCCCCAAAGTTGTGAAGAAAATGATAGAGAAAAGAAAGAAATAAATTAACAAACCAAAAAGAAAGTGATAGAGAAAAGAAACAATCAAACAAACAAATGAAAAACCAAACCGAAACAACAACAAAAAAGGTTCCTTTACTTAGGAATTCTTGGAGAGCCTGTTTTGGATGTCGTAGAAATAGACACCACAGACTAGCTGGAATGTTACCGAGTTATACGGAGAGGGGTGCAGGAGAAGAAGTGCAACCTGGGAAGAGCGTAGATTTTATGCCGTAGTTCAAGGTTTTTATGTAATGCGTGAATAAAGTCTATGAAATAAATGTGAGGATTGCTTCTGTAGGACGACGGTGGGTTTCAAATTATTCTGGACTTTTAACGTTTGGGATGCTCAAAGGAAGGTTTGTTGGCGATGGTGACCATGAATTGTTCGGGGGATTTGTGTGTCTGGCGACGGGCAGAAGGTAGAGGGAAAATTTAGGGCTCCGGGTGAGCAGAAGACAGAGCGATTGCTTCGTGCTCAGGAGCTGAGCCTGGTACTCTGGCTGTGGCCGAGGCCATGTTTGAACAGAAACTGCATCTTGCCCTAGAATCACGGCGTGTGCCATGACGATGAATAAGTACGTGGAAGAGAACGTGTCTCAGAAGTCCTACACGACCATCAAGTACTTCATGAAGATGCTGAGCAGCGTGAGCGAGACCTTGATCTTCATCTTCATGGGCGTGTCCACCGTTGGGAAGAACCACGAGTGGAACTGGGCTTTCGTTTGCTTCACCCTGGCCTTCTGTCTGATCTGGCGAGCACTGGGTAAGGAGCAGGCGCTTGCTCAGTGAACAGTCAGCGACAATGACCCAGTGGGACTTCTTTCTTTCTGCTGTGGCTGGCGGCCTCTGTTTCCATTTCTTCTTCCTTGTCTACTCTCTGGTCTTCCCTCCCCTTCCCCCTTTCCTCTTCTTTTCCCACTGACTTCTTTTCTTCCTCGTCTCATCCTTTTTGCATACCCCCTCCCTGGGTTTTACTGGAAATAAAATTAGTCTCTCTTTATGACTCTAATTCTGATGGGTAGAAGCACATTACTCTGAGTTGATAACAGCGAGGACACACGAGTCCCCAGGATTCGCAGGATGGGGTGGGGAGTGGGGTGCACACTTTGCACAGTCACGGAGATTCGGTGACTCAGAGTCCCCCTGCCTGTCCCTGTCCGTATTCACCCAGTCTGCTTCCTCTGGGTCCCTCTCTGCCCACAGGTGTCTTTGTCCTGACTCAAGTGATTAACTGGTTCCGGACCATCCCCCTGACCTTCAAGGACCAGTTCATCATCGCCTACGGCGGGCTCCGAGGCGCCATATGTTTTGCCTTGGTGTTTCTTCTCCCCGCTAGTGTGTTCCCTCGAAAGAAGCTCTTCATCACGGCCGCCATTGTTGTTATATTCTTCACTGTCTTCATTCTGGTGAGTGTAGCTATTTCTTCTAGAAAAGTCTCTCCCTTCTTCAGGCCATGAGCACTTCTTGGCCATCCAAGTGAGTGCGGGTAGGGGAACCAAGGTGTGTGAGGCTCTGGGAGTCACCCGAACAGGGAACACGATATTTCCTCCCCGGGTTCACGGCTCGGATTGTGCAGGACATTACACGATCCCAATCTGGTCACTTGGCCAGTCACTTCCACCACGGAGGAAACGGTCATTTAAGGAAAAGTTCAGCTCAGGGGTTGGTGTGTATGTACTACTGGAAACTGACACAGTGCACGGCCCTAGCTCTAATCCTTGTCATTCGCCTCGCTCCCCGACCTGGTAAATGTCCTTGTTAAGTCCTGGCTGTGAGCCATGACCTTCTAGCAGCTATTTGACAAGAGCTGGCTGCTGACTGTGCTCTGCCTAGAGCAGTAAGCATGGCTGCTCTGACTCTGTCAGTCAGTCAGTCAGTATGCCAGCTCTCAGGAGATTGGTTATATGCTGTCCATATTCATTTAGCAGAGATGAATTTGTCTTGTGCTCTGTGGCATGCACTGCTGTTAGAATTTAGACTCCTTGCCTGAGAAAAAATATAAGAGTATATTCCTGTCTCTGCAGAACTTCCCTTCTTGTCAGGGGCTAGGGGAGAGCAGCATACACTAGGAGAGGGACCTAATAGTAAAGCATGGAATATTCTTAAAGGTGGGAGGTACACAATAAACAAGGCAGGGTCAGGAGGGAAGAGGGTCACATAGACTGCGGGTATGGTACAACTCTAAATTGATGTTTATAGAAGGGAAAAGTGTGTGTGTGTGTGTGTGTGGGGGGGTCTGACATTTGAGCAAAGGCCTGTAGGAGGCGGCGGCGGCCTTAGCCAAGATGGAGGACATTCCAGGCCCATGTGTCGGGGGAGATCTTGTTTCCTGGATACAGAATGTTCTTGGCTGGAGTATAGGGTGGGCTAGAGTAACAGAGGCTATGTATTATGTAGGGCTGTGACGAGCCATGTGAGGAGCTTCACTCTTCTCCAAGGGAAGGGGACACAAAGTAGAGGCCAAGGAAACATGAATGCAGGACCTGATCCAGGTGGCCGGAAGAGAGGATAGATCCTGTTGTGCAATCTGATGATGGAGCCTGCAGGATCTCTCTGGATGTGACATGAATGAAGAGGGTTAGCTTCACTGGTTCCCAGGTTTGATGGTGCCTGAGCAAGGAGATGAATGGACCTACCCTCAAGTGAGAAGGGGGGGGGGCGTCTGTGATCCCAGAACTGGAGGTTGGAGGTTCAAGCACAAGCTTGCAGGGTTGAGGATGTCTGTGACACTCGCAAGTGCAGACACTGACTGGGCAGGTATTAAAAGAGGCCAGGCCTCCGATGATGGTGTCTCAAGCCACAAAAATGCGATGGGTCATGTAGAGTGTGAATATGGACACCGAGGAAACAGAAAGGTGCTAAGCTTGAGCCCTAAGGCAACCAGAACCTCAGAAGGGAACGGAACGGTCATGGAGACAAACACAGGACTTTTCAATTTTGTGTAACCATCTTCAAGTGCTTCCTAAATACCCTAACCATGGTGTCATCTCAGTACCAAGGGGCTGCTCCTCCCAGAACAGATTCTGTCATCTCAGAATACCAGACACAAAAATAGAATCATATCACCCTAGTGGGATGTAGAACTAGGTCACTGGGAGAGGACCGCAAGTCCTCAGTGCTTATAGTACAAAGACAGTCCTCTGCCCCAGACATCACTGGCCTGGCGCAATTGTAGAATACGACTACTGTGACTTCATAGAAAGAAGTTTTAAAGACAGTGTACAACATCATACAGTTTTATAGCTTTTAGTCATTAGTCCTATCAAACATAAAAATACATAGCTATAGCTAGAACATTATATATGAAAAAGTATTAAAAATCAATACCATTAGTCATAGAACATATGTGTATATAGATGATTAATGTAAACACATTAATATAGATCTATATGTAATAACTTTTTCCCATTTGGGGTTGGGATTCAATCAAGAAATACAAGTAAATTATCAATTACCTACGTTACATGCCTCTGTACTCACTCTATTTTTATTTATTTATTTATTTATTTATTTATTTATTTTTTTTTTTTGAGGGAAGGTCTCACTGTGTAGCATTGGCTGGCCCAGAACTCAGTTTGTAGACAAGGGAGACCTCACATTCATAGAGCTCTGTCTGCCTCTGCCTCCTGGGTGATGGCATTAAAGCCATGTCCAGTGTGTCTGGATATTTGATATTTCATATTACAAACTTTCTCTTTCGATTTGTAACAAACTGGAAGTGGGAATGTAAATTTATCTCCTTACTGGCTTGTAGATAGACATCTACGGGTCAGCAACAGCCCTAGGCAGTACGCTACGCTCAACAGCTTTGCTTTGAACTTTCATGTCCTGTGCCTTAGGCTGTTATCAATTACACTACAGTAAACATGCACAACTTAAGACACCTTGGATAGATAATACTGGCCATGGGAATCTAAGGTGAGCAGGGCTCTTTTGTGGGAGTCATGAGGAATCTACGGTGCAAACGAGGAGAAGAAGGAAACCAGCCGGCAGGGGACAAAAACAGAAGGGGAAGGGAGGGCGACACAGAACCCAAGACAGGAAGGGCGAAGAGAACGAGAGCCACCGGCCACACCGACCAGGGAGAGGGGCGCAGGCGAGGCAGGTGCAGGTAGAGCCTGCTTTTACCTGGACTGAGAAGCACGTGCAGCAGGAGAATGGCATGCTTTGAGCGGGCATCGCAGGCTCTTGGATGGCAGAGGGAAATGTGGGAGACAAAATTAGAAACAGGGAGACTGGTATATGTGCTTGTGCATGAGGGTAAAGGTGCCTAAAGGTCCTAGTGGAGAAGAAAGGGCTCAGGCAACAGACGGACAGTAGGAGCCATGCAATGCATTGGCTGCTTTGAATATGGTGAACACACCAATCTGACTAACCCCATATGGGTGCATTTGACTACTAAGACTACGGCTAGTGTGCCCAGGCCAGTCTTTCCCATGATAAACTAAAGGGTCACTTGGTCAAGTTCATTCTGATGGCTGTAGGTGGCTTTGTACTTAAGTCCCTGGGTGACTATGACTTGACTATGACCCCCTCTTCCCCTCCCTCCCCATACTGCTCCCATCACTGTTTCTCTACACACTACACACATACACATGCAAATTTACACCCACATCCTTCAAAAAGAAAGATTTTTTTTTTAAATCAGAATAGATCGGTCAAATAAACAGAGAGAAATATTTTTTCTCTATGTAACAGTCCTGGCTGTGCTGGAACTCACTCTGTATACAAGGCTGACCTTGAACTCACAGAAATCTGCCTGCCTCTACCTCCTAAGTGCTGGGATTAAAGGTGTGAGCCACTATAGAGTACCTAGTTACAAATCCATGCATAAAACTGTGCCTTTTAAGTAGGCCATCTATTTTCCTCCAAATGCCAGCTTTTATTTTTGCTGGGTTTATTATTAAATTTTAAAAATTGTTTGTGGATGAATGTTTTGTGTGTGTATGTTTGTGCACCACATACATTCATGCCTGGTATTATCAGAGGCAAAAGAGGGCATCAAGTCCCCCCGGAACTTGAGTTACAAACAGTTATGAGATGCCATGTGAGGGCTGGGAATGAAATCTGGGTCTTCTGTAGAGCTATTAGTAAACGATCTCCCCAGTAGCCCCCTTTGTTAATTTTTTAAAATCTATTTCCCTCTCCTTCATAATCTCTTGAAGGATAAGTTATTCCAGTCTGACATCAACTTATGACTGTCTTCACAAATAGGTTACATGTGACATGATTTATTATTTATGATGACTTGTCATGATAATTTAAACATTGCCTAAATCATGTTGCTAATTTGAGTAGCACATTACCATGCCATTGAATGTGGCATTGCTTATAGAATAGCAAATGAGTAAACACTCTTGATTTCTAGACATCTGAGTTCACTTTCCTTTCAATAAAACCCGTAATGTTATTTACGTACAATATGACCTGATGCTCATGGTTTGAAATTATATTATGAATTAGCAAAAAAAAAAAAAAAAAAAAAAAAGAGAGAGAGAGAGAGACTTGAACAGTGCCAATCTGATCTGTTTCTTTGACCTTTTCCCATCTGAGTTTTATCAGCCTCAGTTTACCTAGAGACCTCCCTGTCAGGTGTTGTACATACAGTACAATACCCAACATAGGGTTTTGATCTCATGATTCCATGTAAAATACTAGGCCAAACAATAGTAAGAGAAACGTTGACGTCCTTCAGTATACTTCAGTTTGGTCAGAAAAATAGAGTCCCGTGATCATTACTTACAGTCACACAGAAGACCCCAAGAATTCTACAAATCTGTTCAACAGCTATCTGGAAGTCAATGTAGTAAAAGTAAACACAGCAACTTGTCAGCTCTGCTCACTCATGATGTGACGTACATCCTTGTGTAGGCTGTGAAGCCAGCAGGTGGGTTGTGACACCACTCTGATGTCTCAGAGACAGGAGACGTTAGCATTCATGGCAGAAGCAACAGCCAGAACATTGTGTGGCATTGTGTCACTTTTCCTCAGCCCTTGCTTCCATGAAAGGGACACAAAGGGCCCATGAAGGACAGATGTGTGTGTAATGGTCTGCTTTACAGGAGGGGGGCAGAGATTAGGAATTTATCACTGTCTGTGGAGGGTGATGTTATTTTATTTCTCAAGATTGTTAATTGCTGGCACTCTCAGGGATGCCTCCGATAAAAGAGTCTTTGTATAAGCAAGGACACGGGGATGCTCAGGCCCCATGGTGCCCTGAGCAATAAATATTTGCTGATGTTGCCTGCCAAACTGAATTGACGGCGGTGCTCCCTATTTTATAGACCCTAGAATGTGCTTTCTTTTGTTAAATAAATTTCTATGTTTAATCAATGCAACATTACCAACTGGGAAGAATTCCATAGAAATAGGGACATTTGTTATGAGTAGGTTTACTTCCACGTGGTCTTATCTTAACGGAGACATGGCGTTCTTCTCTCTCTGTCCTCCATCTTGAATCTCCTCCTTACTACTTCCTCTCTCCTCCTTGTCTCCCAGTCCCGCCTATCTTGCTTTCCTATTGGCCAAGAGTGCTGTGTTCATTAACCAATAAGAGAAACACATATACAGAATGACATCTCCCATCAGACATTTAATATAGACCTAAATAAAATGAGTAAAATGATCCTTTTTTTTTTTTAAGAGGGAAAATTGTGGTGAACAATTTAGGATGTGTGCCGCCTAGTGTTTTTGACTGAGCAATCAGGGTTAATTTAGTTTGCAGGGTAGAAAATAATTTCTCTAAAGCTATCTAGATGTCGATGATCTGCAGTTCATGACAGAGGCCAGGTAGATGGGAGACCCCGCCCCTAACTGTGGAGTAAACCTAGATACCCTTTAAAGAACGAGATGGGAAGAAATCATCCATAGATGAGGGGAGAAGCGTAAAAACCATCTGTGTGCTGAGCCCCGAAACACAGCATCATCAGGGAGCTGGTGAATTGTTGAGGAAGCTAGGTAATCGGGAGAGTGAACACTGTGGTTGACTATGTACAAAGCATGGCGGAGACAGGCAGAAGCCAAGTGATGACAGTGTCCAAAGAGAGGATTCTGCAACCTCAGAAAAAAGCAACCGCTTAGTGAGTGAGGGGTGGCCATCCCCACGGGAGTTCTGCGATGAGCGTGACCCCTTGACTAACCACATCCAAAGGAGAGACCCTGGAGGCAGGAGACCCACAAGAGAAAGGGTAAAAGGCAAGGGACACTTGGCACAGGTAGCTTTTATTTCAGGTTTTCTAAGATGAGAGCTTCAGCTACGCATTTGATTGTAGAAAGTATAGGCAGATTTCCGTAGCTCACGATGGAGAAAGCTATTGTATATTAGTCATATGACCAGTGTGTAGGTGGTAAGTACTGGAAACCAGGGGCAGCCAAGGGCTGGGAGCACTTTATAAATCTCATTCTGTTTGCTTCAATTCCAAGTGAGTTTTTATTCCCCCCCCCACACAATTTGGTTTACAATCTTAGCAATCAAGGTATTAATGTGAGAATGTCCTAATATAAGATAGCATGGCCGTGACAGCGATAGGTTCGTGTGTCTGTGTGTATTTTATAAGTGTTATGTGTGTTGTGATGAGGAGTGTTATGTGTAGTGTGATTATGTGTGTATGTATGTGATCATATATGTGTGTGAAGGGTGTGTGTGTGTGATCATATATGTGTGTGTGTGGGGGGTGTGTATGTGTGTGTATGTGTGCTGTGTGTGTGTATGTGTGCTGTGTGTGTGTGTGGTGTGTGCTGTGTGTGTGTGTGTGTGTGTGTGTGTTGTGCCAAACTTGAATAACAGATGAGAATTTGTTTGCACTTTGCAATGATTTTTATTTATTTATTTTTTTGGCATCTTGTTTGTAAACTCAGGACTTTTATTTTTAATTTTTTACTCCCCATGAATAGTAACAAGCTATCTTATTCTTGGAAGTTCTATCAAATTATTTCCTAGGCAAGCCAAATTAGAAAATTTCCAAAGGGATAAAGTAGGTCTCCCCTCAGAGCTCTCCGCTCTATTTCCTCCCAAACCACAGGCTTTGGCTGATGTAATAAAACATACTGATTGGCCAGACATGGTATACACTGGTCACATGCTCTACTTCAAAATAGATGGTAGAAGAAGAAAAGAAGAAAGGAAGGGAGGAAGGAAGGAAGGAAGGAAGGATTTTCTTGTTTTTGTTTTTTGGTGGTAGGGTTTTTTTGTTTGTTTGATTTTTGGGTTTTAAGTTTTTTTGTTTTTGTTTTTGTTTTGAGTTTCTGGAATTCATCTTGCAGTTCCATGGGACATGGAATTAGGTGTAGTCACCATTTCTAAAAATCACAACGGCACTCATTTTCGTTTGCATATGCTAAAGATTCCAGAATGTGTTGATTGGGAAACTGTTATTGGCTCCTGTGTTATTTCCAAGTGTCAGACAGAAAAACAAACAAACCAAATTTGGTTAGAACCAGTTTTCACTTAAGAAAGTTAAAAAAAAAAAAAAAATGAAACTCATGCTAGAAAAAATGCTCACGCTGGATTGATGGAACGAAAACCATGACCTCCTTTGAAGAGGGTATGTATGTTATCAAGACTAAAGGACAAGCAAAGAGCGATGGATCACATCTGCAGTTTCAGCCATCAAGAGGCTGAGGCAGAAGTATGGATACAATTTCAAGGCCAGCCTGGGCTACACAGGGAGTCCTAAGCTAGTGGGAGCTTGACTCTACTCATCCCCATGAATGTTTTTTAGCATCTAAATACAGATGGAAATGGAAGTCAATGGCAGACAATATAATTCAACATAATCTCTCCTCTTGTCAGGGAAACAATCCTTCTCCTGTGTGTTGTGAACCCCCAAGCGGGAACCCTGCTTCTCTTCCTACATGTCACCTCCCCTGCCTATTTTGGTGCCAATGTCACAATTGATGTGCACCATAGCTGGCAGACTGTGTTGCGTCTGCACATTCCCCTTTATTTTCCTTCCTTAAAAAAAAAAAAAAAAAAAAAAAAAAACCCTCTGGTTGAATTTTGTTGTTACAGGTTAATAAAGATTGCTTGAGATGTGTTTCACATCCCGAGCAATGCATTATAATATTGTGTGTACACATTAGCTATGAAGAAAAAAATAAGTCATTGTAATCTATCCTGTTTAGAACTTTAAATGCATTTTAAGATTTCTAGTCTCTATAATATCCTTCAGTTAGGTTTTAGAATTCTCTGTGTAAGGGTTTTATGCAAGTGTCGTAAGGCTTTATATACATGAATACTACACATGAATATATATAAATGATGAGTCCAATATATACATACTTTCTCCTAGTATATGTGTCATATGATATAGTAGTATATACTATTTACTTAGGCATACCCTGTAGTCATAATATGATGTAATACATAATACACTAAAGATTGCTATTATATGATTATTGTTTACCTCTTTAAAATGATACATGAGATGGGGTGTGGGTGTTAATTTTGTATTAGTGCTTTCCTTGGTATTTTGATACAGAAGCGAGTGTCTTAGGCTTTAGAAGAAAAGTACAAACTATCCGTTAACACAATTCTTGCCACTTTGTTGCCAGCAAATCTTGCCTTTCTTTGGTCTTTGGTCTGTTGAGAGCAACAAGCAAAGGAGGAGCCTACTGCCCTCTGCCCTCTGTGCCTCTAATGGAGATGCTCTTAATATTTCCTTATTGACTGAAATGTTGACTATGAAATTTTGCAGAGATATTTGCCTGGAGTATGGAGTTTCCTTTACCCCACAACCCCCAGTTAACTCAACAGCTTGTAATTTTCTCCATTTCCCACATTAACTCCTAAGTATGCTTACATTGCCCTCACACTGTTTCCTGATGATGCTCCTTGGCTGTTCTGAGATCTTCGCCAGGAGGTGATGCCAACACCTTTCCCGATTCCTGCTGAGTGCTTCCTAGGCCCTCCCTCTCCCTATGTCTGTCTGCCCTTTCTCTTCTGCCTACTTTGTAAATGTGTTGGGATAGAAATGATCTTCTTTTAGAACCAGAGTCCTAGAGCCAAGGTCCGTTGTCATCGTCCCTGTTCTGATGCCTAAGCTCTGTGAAAATTGTCTCAGTAGACTGAGCAAATGAAAGAAACACTAGAGAGTTCTTCTCTGGGTAGTACAGTAAGTAGCTGATGACACTGAACTTCATTTTTCAGTACTTTTTAATTTCTTTCAATTTTGGCATCAGTTTTATGTTGAAAATAAGACATCTGGGGAAAGGAAGGTAAGAATAACAAAGTTTCACATTTACTATTTAACTTTTGGCAACAGGCTAGCTTTTGTTGGTGGTGGGTGGTAGGAGATGATCAGCTGTGGCTGAACTTTTGTTTTAAGAGAAAACTTATTTATTTATGTCTGTATTTTTGTGCAGGGGATAACCATTAGACCACTGGTGGAGTTTCTTGATGTTAAGAGATCCAATAAGAAGCAGCAGGCCGTCAGTGAAGAGATCCACTGCAGGGTGAGTACCAGGCACTTTAACAATAAAAATAAACTTGTAGAGATCACAGAAAGAGCACTGCACTATTGTGCATTTCTAGAAGCAGAGGGGAACAGCAGAAGACTCAAAGGGATGGGAGAGGGCTTCCGGAAGTCTGTGATGGGAGGTGCACTTACCATGGCCCCATGATATCCAGTCCAAGTCTGAACCGTCCAAGGGAAAAATAAAGCCTTCAACCTGAAAGTGTTGCTACTACCCATTTCTTGTAATTTTGAAAGTTATGATCAAACTTAGGATGATCAAAGTAATAAAAACATTGCCTAGTGAACAAACATTTGAAGATAAATAATTGGCTTATAGATGGGAGGTGGTAGTGCATGCTTTTAATCCCAACACTCTGGAGGAAGAGTCAGGCATATCTCTGTGAGTTTGAGGCCAGCCTGGTCTACAGAATGAGTTCTAGGACAGCCAGGGCTGCAAAGAGAAACCTTGTGTCAAAAAACAAAACAAATCCCAAAATAAGTTGGCTTATGACTTTCAACAAAATAAACGGCAAGTGTCATTGGAGTTAAGGATGAAGCCCAGAGAGTGAAAATGGCCAATTGCAAGAAAGGGGGAATTGTTTAGCTTGCCTTTTTTTCTGTTTTAGTTTTTTGATCATGTGAAGACTGGGATTGAAGATGTTTGTGGACACTGGGGTCACAACTTCTGGAGAGACAAGTAAGAGCCCTTGCAACATTCTATTTATGTTGCTCTGGGTCACTCTTAGAAACAAATTATACTGAGGTGTGCTTTCTTCCAGGCTGGGGATCCTATGTTGTGCTACTATGTGTCCTTTTAAGGTGACACTTAGCTATGGACAAGTGATACCTGCCTGTGATCTCAGAACACAGAGGCTAAGGCAGGTGGCTCTACATGAGTTCAAGGACAACAACCTTGGCTACTTAGTGACTGGTGCCAACAATAACAACAATGTATCAACTATGACAGAGATATAAAATTGTTATAAATCAGGCAAACGTTTATTTCCCTATATGAACAGCCAAAGGTAGGAGACTCGGGATTTAGCTGATAGCTCAACCCCACATTCCCAAGGGTAGGGCCACTCACTAAGAGTCAAAATTTCTCTTTCAGTGTCACCCATTTCAGACTGCGAAATGGAAGAAAGACCATTAAAATTTAGACATGCATCTTCTGCCGCCTCTAACCAAGGTCCTCAAGAGCAGTCAAGGGGCTTTTCCATGAAGATTCCATGACTAGAGCCAGCTTTTGTGATCATTCCTCATTGCAGAGGAACCAAGGGTCCCAGTCAATGAGTTAAAAGCTAAGGTTTCCATTACTGCCTGCTCTGCCATGTAAGGGTGAGAGGTGTAGGAAAGGTGGAGACTTACAGCAGCCGAGAATAACTGTAATCCTGTAGAAAAGGAAATGTGAGCTGACATTGAGAGGTTCCTGTACCTGAAGGATTGCATTCATAGAAAATACTCACATGCACACACACACACACACACACACACACACACACACACACACATTTAAAATTTAATGTTTTTTTAAAAGGCTGTGTGTGGTGGTCAGATACAATTTAGTACCGGTCTTCACAGCTGTGATAAATTGAGGTGGGAACAATCAACCCAATAGGGTGGGTGAGATCAAGAAGAGAAGGGATTCTGACAGCCACATTTGGAACATGGATGGGGCCTAGGATCCACCCTCACCAACCAATGGGAGCCCATGGTGGATATCCTCTCCCTTAGACACATTTGGCGCCATCCATGATGGTTATCAGAAAGAGCCACATGCCTGGAACTGGCTAATGCTGTCACCAGGCTCCTTTTCTTATAGAGTGATCTGTGAGTATCTGTGCACCTATCACTGGCTAGGTCAGAGTTCTGATAGAAGCAGAGTTTAAGCTGGAAGGTGAGGTCAGAGGGACACATTCTCGACTGTGTTGAGATATGTCTGCTTGCTTTTCTTTTCTAACCTGTTCGCAGAAATTTTATTCTACTCAATGATACCAACGTGGATACCTGCTGATCTATGTATTTAAGTGAAAGAATCTGGAATGGTTTTGTTTGCTCACACACATAGCATCATACTGGTTACATATGATGTATATGTCACAGAATTATATATGTCAAATCATATAAGAGAGACAACAAAACAGTCCTGTAGTAAGCAGGTGTGTGTGTGTGTGGGGGGGACAGGTGTTGAGATCCTTAAGGAATTCAATGAGTTACAAAGACTAATGCCAGAACAATTATAAAGATTACAGTTCATGTTCATGGATGTTAGAAGGTCCCATGAGCTTAGCTTTATTTCATAAATCAAGGAAAGATATTTTTTGTACAGGAGGGTACCCAGTTAACCACCTGGGAGTACAAGTTAATAAAGCTGACTAAACCTGCTCTATAAAACTCAGAACAAATTGCTATTTCTCTTGAGACACATTTATTATTTTTTTCTGGCTGTGGGATTAATGTCAGCCCACTGTGCCTGCCTTATTCTTGTACACCCTCGGAATCTCATCACATAGATGGGCCCTTTCATGTGCCAAACCAATGAAACAGACTTTCTTCTCCTCTTTCTACATTGTTTTATGTTCTCCCTTTGCACCCAACCACCTTTTCCATTCCATAGACTCTCTTAGCATGGTGAGTGAGAGGCATAATGCAGACTAGTGTGTTTCCTTTCAAAAGCAAAGGTCAGGTTTCACATCCTCCTCACCCTTCTGCAGCCAAATAGGGAGAAGGCAGACATGTTGTAAGCACACACTAGGTCCACAGCCCCTGGGCTCTTAGGAAAAAAGAGATGCTGTCCTATTTGGCTTTCTTTGCTGTGATAAAGACCAGGACAGAGGAGCAATGTGTGGATGAAAGGGCTTTTATTTCAGCCTATAGCTCATGGACTATGAGGGGGAAGTCAGGGCAGGAACATGGCAGGAACAGGGATCATGGAGGGACATTGCTTTGTGGCTTCTTCTTCATGGCTAGTCTCCCCTTCTTTTTTAAAAATACCACCAGGACCACCTGCCCAGCGGTGGCACAACCTACACTTGACTGGTCTCTACCAGATCATTACTCAAGAAAATGCCTATCTTAATGAAGGCATATTCTCAACCTAGATAGCACTAGTTTGTGTCAAGTTGGTGGAAATCCTAACCAGCCCAAGAAGGCATGGGGTGAAGCTGTGATCACGTGGGTTGAAACTAGAATTCAGGTGAAGGTCAGAGGTGGTACATGTGTCCTGTATGTCAGGCAGTTAGTGTCTCTGAGGTCCAGGAATGTCTTGTAGGCAGACCTCCTAAGGAAGCCTAGCTGGGCTGTGAACAGTAACAAGAACAGTGATAACATTTGGCTCCTGTTTGGAAGCTGTTGCTTTCTTATGACTTAAAAAAAAAAAAAAAAAAAAAAAAAAAAAAAACAAAAAAAAAAAAAAAAACAGGAATGAATAGTCTTAATTAATCCACAAGCATTTTAGATTTCCATGTTCAGTTACCATACCAACTTCAAAGCATTTTTTTTTAAATTGTAATGGATACTGTGCAATCACCAGAAAAGTGGGTGATGAGTTACTGGGTGTTGACTCAAACTGTTTTCAAATCAACTCTGCTCATAACTTCTTTGGTGTGTACAGAACCATTGACCCTACTAAAAAGAACGTGCAAAAAGAAGTCATGTTAGATACCTTCCCTTGCCATCTAAAGTCCTGGTGCTACAGAATCTCATTGGCCCTGGCAGAGAATCCTTGGGATGCTTAGTCACTTGAGGAAAGGATAAAAGGCCACACAGTGGAGACATTGCGCAGGCTCAGCTAGCAGGAGTCTAATACTGCGAAAGGGGACACCACCTGTGTGGAGTTTGGCAGAGGGATGGGAAGGGAAATAAAGCCATAAGAAAACACGCACTCCCCCATGCAGGAGAGGACGGTGGCCTCTCCCATCCGTGTTCGTTCTCCCGTGTGTTTATCTCCAGGAAAGATCTAAAACAATAACAGTCATATGAGAGGTGCTAGAAACTTGGTATCCCTGTTGAGAATCCTGGCTCCATGAGCCTAACACAAAATTCAAAATAAACATTGGAAAGAGCAGGCCCAGCCTTCATAGGGTAGTGGGTCACTAGCACGGTGTGTTCAGGGTGGCCCTTTAATTATTCAGATACCTACAGTGTTTAGAACAAAGGATCCGTGCCAGGAAAGTGGGTTAACACTGCTTCCATACATGGCACAGGTGTGCCAGTAAAAAAACTCTATAGGCTGGCGGTGAATCAATGTTATATACTTGTTTCTTTCTCAAGGAACATTTGTGGCATGTTGTTTTGCTTATATATTGGCATGCGGTGTTACATAACAAGCCATGCCCAAAGCCGGTGGATCAAAATAGCAGTCATTTATTATTTAATTGTGTGACTCAAGAAGTTCCAAGTGGGCTGGACTGGTCTGGGCGGGGCTAATCTCTCTTGGGCTTGGGTTTGTCCTTGCTGCTGCTGTGGGCTGGATGATAGTCAGGTGATCCTGCCAGAGCTTGTCTCATATGTCGGTGGTAAAATGGCGTTCACCTTGGTTCATGCCACTTCATAGATTTACGAGGCTGGGTGGCTATGATGGTGTGGGCACACAGGCTCCAGGCTCCAGTAGTAAGCCTCTTTGGTCATCACGTCAGAAGGAGGCTATTCAGCAAAACAGGTAGCATTATTGACTAGGAAGAATGCAGAGGCCATTTAGGCCATGACAGAAAGCTATTGCTGGGTTTGGGCAGGGGTGGATACAGGAGGGCACTGGGTGTCTACAGCACGCATGCTTACACTGTGCCTGGCTTATCATTGGTGATACATGGGTGGGGATGAGGGAATCCCCATAATGCCGACTTTACAAACGCGTGACTGCTAGGACATAGGCTATCAGGTGAATAAGAAAAGTATAGGTCACCCCACAAAATGAGAGCTGGAAAACACATCTGAGAACAGGACAGGATGGAATTGGCATTCTCGGGGAGCATAGGGGGCAGAGGTCTGCCTTGCGGAGGTTCTTTAGAGGTAGTTACCACTGAACGCTGCTGAGAGACGTAAAGGCTATATAAGAAAGCATCCCTAGTAGGTGGGATGATGGATGCAAAGGCCCTCAGAGGACAGGCGACAAATGCCTAATACAGGAAGGACTCCCCACTCAGGGCAGCGTTGCGCTGAGGGGGCAGAGACACGCTCAAGCACCTCAACTGTGTGCCATCATGCTGTGATTCCACACGATAAGGGCAGGGACATGTACTGGGTGCCCAAATCGGTATCAGAGCCCAGGTTGGAAAACCAGTGGCATCCAGGCCCCCCCCACACACACACAGGAAAGTATATATAAAGACATACATAGAGTAAAATCAGCTTAGTTTTGCTACGTTTTTTTACTGGGAAGTATTTTTCTTGTTCAACGAGGTACTCGTTAATTCAAATTCTGACTTTACTCGCCTATAGGTTTAAGAAATTTGATGACAGATACCTCCGGAAGCTCCTGATTCGGGAAAACCAGCCCAAGTCTAGCATCGTGTCCTTATATAAAAAGCTTGAGATAAAGCATGCCATTGAGATGGCAGAGACCGGGATGATAAGCACTGTCCCCTCCTTTGCATCTCTTAAGTGAGTATCGACTCGCAGAGTGAAGTTAGCATCAACAAGCAGGCATCGGTTCGGTTTCGAAATCTGTGATAGTAGCAGTGGTATTATAATGATAGTAGAAGTATTGTTGACCTAAGTCCTCAGGTGGTGGCTTGAGATCTCAGTACAGAACGAGATTCTCATTGAAAGACAGCTCTGGGTACATGTGTGTCCTGTTTGGTGTTACATTTTGCTGTGTGTTGTGCTGCATTTGAGTGCCAAGTCCAAAATTGCCATCATGCTTAGGATCCACACACCTTTGTCAGATTAGCCTTGGGAAGTTAGGTACTGGTTGAAAGTGAGTTAAAATGCTCTCAGCCTTATCACATGGAATGTTTCCAAGGCGTTTTGGGTCCTCTACTTACTGTGAGTATACACAGAATACTCGGAAGTGACTATTCACAGTAGTGGAGTTAGGTTTGGGGGAAACAGACATGGACCCCTGTTGCAGTGACTCTCAACTCTTGGCTACACATTGGAAACATCTTGGGAATATTAAAGACTGTAGAGGCCAGGGTGCCATTCCACAAGAACTCAATCCCTGGAGAGGAGGCTTAATAAAATGTAGCTAGCTAAACTTCTATTGGAATGGATGCATTTCTTTCTGCTAGCAATAATGGCCTGATAACTCTGTGAGTCATTCTTTTAAAATGAATCACACGAGAAACCGGCTGTGGTAGCACTCATCTGCAGTCGCAGAGTACTGGGGCCAAGGTCTCATGATGGTTAACTTCAGACCAGATGAGAAAACAGGGTTTGTGGGAAGCAGGATGCAATGGTTGACTCTATGGAAACATACGCACGGTTGAACCCACCAAGGGTGACTGTATCATGGAAATACGTTTCAGAAACGTGACTATTCTAAAACTGAGTACTTTAAAAATATTTAGAACATTTGAAAATGTTGAGCAATTCTTAATTGTTCCTGTTTAAAACTAAAATCTCGCTCCGAAGTAACGACGCTGTAACACCAGTGAAGAAATGTGATGATTCTGATATTCTTCAAAAGGTTAAAATAATTTTCCCTCCTAAACTTTTACAGTGATTGCCGTGAAGAAAAAATAAGGAAGCTCACACCAGGCGAGATGGATGAAATTAGAGAGATACTATCAAGGAATCTCTATCAAATCCGTCAGCGGGTAGGAAATGCCTATGCACAAAATACTTACTTAAATCTGGCTGACACATGCTGCCTAGCTGGGTACTGTAAATAGACACTTCCATGCCGTACCTGCCCTGTGCAAGCACCACATGGGTTAGCCTTTCTCAGTCTCCCAGTCTCTCTCCCCGCATCCCATCCTGGAAACTCCCTAAGTACTCCTGGACACCTCAGCTGAAGCCTCAAAGGCTGGGGGGATCTGGTACTTAAGTTTGAGAGATAAAGAGTGATGAGCTGGCCAGTTATGAAGAAGTGATCTGATGTTTTTGTATCTGAAAATACTTGTAGGGCTGGGACCATAGCTCAGCAGCCAAGAGGGTGCCCTGCTCTTCCAGAGGGCACCTGAAAGTTCTTGAAAGTTCTGTTTCCAGCAACCACACAAGATGGCCCACTATCACCTGTAACTCCAGCTCCAGAGGGATCTGCTGCCTCTGGGGCATCTGCACATGTGTGCGCGCACACACCCGCACACACACAGAATAAAATACAATCTTTTAAAAAGTCTTATAGCTTAGACTGTAACTATATCAACTCTGTTACATAAAGTGCTAGAATTTCTTTCTCTCTGAGTCATTTCTTTCTCTGTATTTCCACTATTAATAACCTGTTCTGACAATAGTCAAATTATATGATAAGAGAGGCTAACGACCCCAGAGTCTGGCCGTTTCCCAAGTGTCCTTTAGCACACCATGCACACTGTTTTTCTTGACTCCCCTAACTCCTCATGGTGCTAGGTGTTACTGTCCTTTCCACATCACAGGTGAAGATACTGAAGCACAGTCAGCTTGGAGGGGATGGTCCTTGTTTCTCCAGAGTCTACACCTGTAGGCTTAGCAAGCATTCCATCAGGCCGCCGACATTTCATCCATGCTAGCATCACTACACATCCTTTCCCTAAAGCTCTTTCAAGGGCAGTAGCCTCCTGTTTAAAATGAAACAACACAACAGTTGCCCTTTCCAGGATAACTTGGGGCCCCTACTACCAAGCCCAACTTTTTCCAATATCATCTCCCATGCAATCCATCCACTCTCTTCAGCCTTTCTTGGACCAACAGGTTCTGTCCTGAGGCCATGGCCTGGGTAGTGTGTGCTATCTCTCTATACTTAAGAGCCAGCCCCTGCTTCCTGTTAGCTGGCCCATAGCCTCCCCTGTTTGCATTTTGGCCAAGAACAATCATACCACCCCAGCCCTACTCTAGATCAGCAAACACATGGGTTTATGCAGTGCAGCTAATTGAGCACTTGCTTTTATGGTTTTATTAGACTCAGATGTCCAACTAGATAGGAAGCTTCCTGAGGCAGAAGGAGAATCTACGCTGTGTCAGCTTTCCGTTGGCCTGCAGGACCTGGTGTATTTCTGGCCATGGGATATTTCCAAGGTGTCCACGTCAGTTCTACCAGGAAATGAACTTGAGTGCTAACTACGCTACATGTGGCATGATCTGTGTAGTGAGAAACAACATCTCACAATCACAGCCCTGATATTAGTCCGAGGATGTGGTGCCACCAATTGCCAGTATGACTCATATTTATGTCATCAATATCTCTCCACTCAGTAGAGATTGCATTTGAAAAATGATTTTTGTTTTGCTATTAATCATGGCAGGACGCATAGAAAGCAGGCGAGGTGCTCATGAATTGAGTTAATCTTCTAGTTTACAAAGCTCACACTTTTCAATGGAGAAAGAAAAGCATATGCGCTGATTTACAGAAGGACGGATTCGTTCAAAATCTGAGCGTTAAGCTTCGAGACTCCTGATTTTAATCTGGGTTTTGTCCCACAGAGAAAGCGACTCCACTGATTTAAACTCAAGGAAGAGTCAAGTTCTGAGTTGAGGAGAAATGATGGATCATTTGGTAAAAGTGTCCCATGTGCGTTGTCTTTTCAGACCTTATCGTATAACAGACATAACCTGACGGCAGATACAAGTGAGAGGCAGGCCAAGGAGATACTGATCCGCAGAAGGCACAGCCTTCGGGAAAGCCTCAGAAAGGACAACGGTTTGAACCGCGAGCACAGGGTAAGCGTTGCCTTCAGAAGCACAAGGCTTCCAAGGGCAGGCAGAGCCCTCAGCCGACAGGAAGCACCTTCGGCTCTGCTGGTGCAATGGCTGCTGAGGGCCAATTCCAAGATATCGTAGGATGGGATGGACAATAAAGCCACTTTTACCGCGTGTAGAGTTGTACTCTTACAGCACCAACTGCTTGCAAGGCTGAAGGGGGAGGAACCCCTGGAAGCCAGTCTGGGCAGTAGAGTGAGACAGATATACTTCAGGAAAAGAGAAAAACAATAGTTCGTTCCTTTTATGTTGTGTGTTTGTTTTTGTCTCATTTACTCAAAATCTTTTGTAAGCCAGGCTGGCCTTGAACTGACTGTATAGCCAAGGGTGCTTTAGAACTCCTGGTTCTCCTGACTCTACACCCCCTCCCCCTCCATGTGCAGGGTCTATAAGCTGATATCACTTATAAGCTTATGCCTACATATTTTATGTCTTTGCCAGTCTTAGACACATGGGAGTCACTGGAGAATCAAAGGGCAGATTCCTATGCTTAGGTAGAGAGGAAAGCCACCAGCAATCCAATATATATGTATACATGTATATGCGTATATATGTATATATGTGTATATGTGTATGTATATATGTATGTATATATGTATATATTATGTTATACTTGAATGCAGTAAGTGCTTTGGAGGAAAAAAATACTTGTTTTAAAGGCGTAGAAGCAAGTTAGAAGACATAATGAAAACATAATTTTAATCAGAATGGCGGGGCCCACTTTGTGTGACTAGTGTGTGGATAGTGATATGTTGACATGTGTAGACTACTGACATACATTCTTGAGGAAGTGTTGTTGAGTGGTTTTGTGATGTGAACATCGTGTATGTACAGACTAGGAGAGCCATGTGTGTCTCTAGGTGACAAGCTCCCAAGAACACTGCTGCACACCCTCTTGGCCTTTGACAGTCATGGGGCTCATGACTACATTTGAGCCTTCCAAGTGTAGGTACCAGGGTACAAACTGCAGGCAAGTCTCACCTTCTCTGGAGAACTAACTGCAAGAAACCCCGAGTGCCGGGGGGTATTCACAGTGCAAATTGCCCCATAGATCAGCTGGGCAGGGACTTCTCAGCAGATAAGGAAAACCATTGGTTGTGACCCAGTTATTGACTGATATAATGTGTCAGGCTTTTATTGTCAATAAAGTTCTGTATTGGGTCATCAGAAGTATGTGCACAGGAGGAGGCCTTTCTACGTGTGATATGCAGCAATGACCGTTACATTTAATTCTAGAACCTAAAGGCACATATTCAGAACAGAATCATAATAACTTGATGTTGTAACACTCTTGTTCTACTTTTTTTTTGTTTTTCAAGACAGGGTTTCTCTGTGTAACAAACAGGCTGTCCTGGAACTCAGTCTGTAGACCAGGCTGGCCTCGAACTCACAGAGACCCCCCCTGCATCTGGGACTCGACCACTGCCAGGCTGTTACTCTACCCATTTTAAGATTAATTGAAATAAATGAAACTGGGATGACCACATTTTAATGTATCTCCTGCCACATCTTTCTTATGAATGACAAGGATGCCAGTTTGCTTTAGGAGCCAGTGGCTTTCTTGCCTTTGTAATGGGCCCATTTTTTTTTTTTTTCTTTCCTCCCCATTGATCTGCACTAATTCTGGAAGGCATTTGGTTGTTGAAGCAGGATGGCCATGGTATCTAGGAGAGCAACTTTGTAACGAAGGACTGAAACTGTATTTTAAAAACCTAGTTTTGTCACCGAGTTTAGCTTCCCATACACAGTAAGTGGCATTTCTGTCATCCCAATGATAGTTTCTACTTGTTTTACAGGCTTCTACTTCAACCTCCCGGTATTTATCCTTACCCAAAAACACAAAGCTTCCAGAGAAGCTCCAGCGGAAGAAGATTTCAAGTGAAGGTAACAGATTCTGTCTGGAGCAGAAATGCTTTTTTGTTCTGTTTGCTAATGCTTATGAAATAAAACAGTTGGTCTGGTTTTCTTCATTAAGGACAAGCTCAGTCATTGTGAACCTCAAGTGGTAACAGGCTCCTTCTTAAAAGCATCGTGATCTGTTTCATGAACCTCTATTCATATCATAAACAGCCCTGTCACTTGTTTTCACCATGGTCCTTTAAGTACAGCAAAAGCAAATCTTTGCACTGTGGACTTACTAAGCTGTAAATATAAGGCTGTAAATCGGAAGATGCATAACCATTTACATCTGTGCAGTAATTCTAACGAATTTTCATGGAACAGAACATAGGTGTTGTTCCTTTGTTTGGTAAACCTCATGTACACACACAAGCTCTTTTCTGTAGATTCCAGAACTATATTAGGGTCCTGTGATATTAAAAAAAAAATGGAATGCAGCAACAATTTAGACAGAGGAAGGCAAGAGAGTGACTATTAGGAGCCGTCAATTCTTGTCACCAGTCCAAGTACAGAGAAACATCCAACCCTAATAATGCCAGTTAGTAGCTAAGGGAAGGGTCACTTCAGTGGTCTTAACATGAACTCTGACACCCAGACCTGGCTTTCGTCTTTCTGTGGGCATGGAAAGCAAATCGGCTGCACATGAAATTCCAGAAGAAGGAAAGAATCTAAACAGCAGGAAATTCAGTTAGTTTGCTTTCTGGTGTCAGAGGATGAGCTGAGCCCTCCCTGGTGGGGGGGGGGCTGCTGGGATCCTGGGGGCAGCTGAGAGTCAGAACTTCTCAGACTTAATCGCAGCCCCATTTCTTACTCGCTATTATCTGTTTGGCCTTTAACCTCACTGTAAAAGTAGGAGGATGAGATGGAGTCGGTGCGCAAATAAATGCATTTAGCAGTAAAAGTGTTTAGAAATTAGCGTGAGCACACTCTTGGACCGCAGATGTGCAAGGCCACCCTGCTGCAGTTAGAGCCAGCCTTCTGGCTTCCCCCATTGCCAGGGCCCCAGGAATGGTTGGGACTCAGTGGGGTTTCGCTGTGATTCGTGCTATCGCTGTTACGCCCTGCTTGCCCACACCGCTCTTCTGTTCTCTGACAGATGGCAACAGCAGCGACTCGGACACAGATGCGGGGACCACCGTGCTCAATTTGCAGCCTCGGGCCAGGCGTTTTTTGCCAGATCAGTTCTCAAAGAAAGCCTCCCAGGCCTACAAAATGGAGTGGAAGAACGAGGTGGACATGGGTTCTACACGGGGGCAACCCAGCACCCCTCCGGCACCCCGCAGTAAAGACGGGGGCACCCAGACACCAGGACTACTGAGGCAGCCCCTGCTCTCCAAAGACCAACAGTTTGGCCGGGGCAGGGAAGACAGTCTGACTGAAGACGTTCCACCCAAGCCCCCACCGAGGCTGGTGAGGCGGGCTTCAGAACCCGGGAACAGGAAAGGTCGCTTCGGCAATGAGAAGCCATGATGGAAAAAGCCAAAGCAGACTTGGGGCGAACGCGCTAGCGTGGCTGTGGTTTGTTACTCAGACCTGATCAACTGTGGTGTCCGTGGAAAACCTCTATCTAGAAACATCCTGTGGGTGGTAGAGTCAAGCCACTGATTCACGGGAGGAGCACTTATCTGTCCTGAGAAGGGGAAAGTCAAAGGGCGGAAGTCCCACAAAATGACTGTTGTGACTTTTGGCTAGGATATATATTCTTTGCAGGCCCAAAGGAAAGAAAGAAAAAAAAAATATATATATATATATACATATGTGTGCGTGCCTTTATTGAACTTGAATGACAGAACTTGAAGATTTTAACACACCTTTGTTGGTGAAAATTTTAATATATTACAAATATGCCTCAGTTTTTATTTATGAAAACAAATGTGTTTATCTGTAGTGACCATTTTTAAAGGGGATGGGGCTAAAAGTGGTGAGAACCATCTTTACAAGAGAACATCTTAAAAGGGGAGGAAGTTCACCTCCTAGAGGTGGGTCCTAAGTTCCAGCTCCCATCTGCCCCATTCTGAGCTGATAGACCTCTCAATTAAGGACAAGATGGCCCATAGCACAGACCTTGGTGTACATCAACAGGGCACTGGTTGGAACATGTAGGCAGACGAAATGACAGCTTTCAGAGTGTAGGTTGAAATGGTGAGGGTCAGACCAGATCTTATTCTGTTCCTGTGTTACCCATGCCTCTGGAGAACATATAATCTTCAATCCACTCCCCCCCCCCTTATTTTCTAGGTACAGAAAGAAAGATTGACCTGAGCAAGATCATTTCATAGTGTTTATAGACTCGGTGGCAGCTTCTGAGCTGTCCCACCTGTGAGGACCTCTTGTGGCCGGTCGGGAGAGGGGGCAGCAACTACTAACCATGTGGCTTTTCTATCATGTGATGCTGGGAGAGAAGTGGAGGTGGTTCCTTTCCTATGCATCAATGACCACACGCTTTAATGACATTGTCCCTCAGTACATTCAGGGCTCCGAGCTGCGAAAAACCTACAGAAACTGTCTTCCAATATGGAAGGAAACGATGTCCTCAGGATTTGACTTTTAATGAGGACGGACTTTGGAAAGCACACCTACTTTTTTTTGCACTAGCCTATAATTTGTCACCTCTTCACCTTTGTCATTAGAGATGAGATTCTATTCTCTGGAGTACTTCTTAGGAGTATGACAGAGAGAGAGAGAGAGACGGTGGGACATAGTCATTAAAGATTCGTATTTAAATCAATGTCTTCTGAGCTGGAGATTTACTGACTTGTCCTTTGTTTTCTCAACAGTAATCCTCAAACACCTTCCCATGTTTACATTTCCAAAGAAGCCACTACTATAGTTTTACTGTAGTCTTTCTGGCCACAGCAAAGGGTACAAAGTGGCATGGAAGGGGTTTTCCTTTGCTTTCCTGTTGCTGTGACAAAGCTTTCTGATCAAAAGCAATCTAGAGGAAGAAATGGATTGTATTCATCTTATACTTCTGGGTCAGTCCGTCCACCACTGAGGGAAATCTGGGCAGAAACTATGGAGGAAGGTTGCAGGCTTGCTTTCGGGCTCATGCTTAGCTCACTTCCGTATACAAGGTAGGGCCCACCTTAGAGATGGTGTGGGTCACAGTAAGCTGGGTCCTCCCACAGAAGTCATCACTAATGACACTCTTTCCAGACATGGCTGACCACAGGCTAGTCTGATCAAGGCAATATGTCTTCTTCCCAGGGGACCCTCGGCCATTTCAAGTTGATAATGAAAACTAACCAGGACAGAAAGCAAGACAGGAAGTTTCTGCAGCCACTTCTCTACCCTCATCAATGTCGCTTCTCCTGAGTTTCTGGCTTGAGATAAAGCTAGAGGTGTGGAAGAAACACACTTGCAGCGTGGCCTTCCCCAGCAATCCCAGGTAGATCCATGAAAAGCCGTGTGAAACACAACTGCAAAGCTCATGATTAGGACTCTGTGCCAAAAAAAAAAAAAAAAAAAAAAAAATCTCTACTTTAAATGACTATATTTTTATAAACTGAGTATTCCTTCTGAGAAGAAATTTAAGTTCTCATAGGTTTTACTATAGAAATAGAATTTAAAAGTATTGTGATGTTTAATGATGTTTATTTTCAAAAATACATAGTCATTGTTCATAGTGATAATAATTAATTACTTCTGGTGAGGAAGGCAGAAGTTGAAAATAACCTTCAAATAATTTTGCTGGTTTTCTATATTAATAAATATTACAAAGAATAATACCTTTCTGAAACTGAAGGGAGCAATAAGAAATAGCACGTTATGACATTTCCAGCTAAATAGACGAAAATCAGCTTTCACTAAGGAAAATATCACATAAAATATCTGAGCAACATTGTATAAATTTCAGAAAATGAACACCTAAGTAGTTTTATCTTAATTATTACCTGTTTAAATTTTTAAAATGTGTTTGATGACAAAGTCAATAAAATAAATTTGATTTTAGCCTTTTCTCTGTAATTTCTTCTTTTGAAAATTACTTGATTCCAGACCACAGAAAAGAGTAGTAAAGAAATGAAACTTGCCGGGGGGTGGTGCACACCTTAATCCCAGCACTTGGGAGGCAGAGACAGGTGGATCTCTGTGAGTTCAAGGCCAGCCTGGTCTACAGAGCAAGTTCTAGGACAGCTAGGGCAGTTACACAGAGAAATCCAATCTCAAAACAAACAAACACAAGAAATGTAACTCTTCAGGTGCAGTAACAATTTAAATTTCTTACATGTAGAAAGAGCCTCCATCCTTTGTTCAAACATCACCTGGCTGGACCTGGAGAATTCTGAGAGTCCTCCTATCATTGTAACACATTGTACTTGAACTGCCTAGGCATGAAATCCAGGACTTGAAGCTTTCAGACAGTCAGCAAGTGATGAGAACTTGCCACCCGAATCCAATACTTTAGAAACTGCATGTTCTGTGTGCATGCCTCCAAATGTCTGAGATGAAATTTCATTCACTCTTTTATGTGTAGCGGGGTGCTCATTTATATAAAAAAGTATGGTCGAGAAATTGTCTTGGCACATTTCGCATTTGCTTGGGTTAAAACTGCTGTCTCATCAGCAATTATAACAGGGTACCATCAGTGCAGGTTCAAAGGGCACATCACACTTTATTTTTAAAGGATAATTAAACATCTGACTTTGTCCAGATGAGGCAACTGCTGACACTATCTGCTGAGCCCTGGACACCATTAGAACGTGTATTCTGTGACCCCAATAGGACATGAAAACCTTCAGAGGCTTCAGTCCCTTGTATAAAATAGTGCAGTGCTTACACAGAACCCAAGCATGTCCTCCGTATAATTAGTCATCTTGAGATGACCCATACCACTTAAAATGCACATACTCCCTCCCTAAGTACCCTGCGGTGCTTAGGAGGAAAATGACAGGATAAACAAGTCTATTTTTTTCTTTACATCTTCCATAGCGAGTGGGTTGGAACCAGGAGTGCAGAATCTTCATGGATATGAAAGGTGGGTGGAACACGGTCCCCCACTTCCTGAAAAGGAATGCTTATGATCCAAACCAGTGCCCTGGGCTTTTGTTTTACTTTCTCTACTTCTTGTTTTACCATCGTTTTATTTGATGTTTTATAGACATGTATAAGTATATAATAAAATATCATAGTGTATGTGCCATCTACTCTAAGCTAAGCTGATGTCCTGGCTAAGAGGGCTTAGCCACTGCAGAGATATGTAAAAGAAAGATCCATGTGGGTAGTTGTGTTAGCTGCCGAGCAGATACCTTCAATGTGTCCTTTCCTGTTTTCAGCAGAAACTTCATGTTTATGTGCAAGCAGTGCAGGCTTGGAAGTGTCCTGCTCACCACATAAACACTTTACATGTGTGCTCTGGGGACCTACCTGTGTTAGCCGCATCCAAAACTGGGTCTACTTTCTTAGGGCATAACCATAATCGAGCATGAACTGGAATGCATCCACCCTTAAACTACCTTCCTGTGTGAGCACATACAGAGCCCCAGAGAAACTCATGTCTCCTCTGTCCAAGGAGGCCATTGCTTAGGAAACCTTATTCTTGTGATTTTGCCTGCTCTCCCTTCCTCTAGGCAAGGGTTGTCAACATGAGTTGCGACTCCTTTGGAGGTCGAAGAATCATTTCACAGGGCTTGCATATCAGATATTTACAATTCATCGGCAGTAGCAAAGTTATAGTTATGAAGTAGCAATGAACGTAATTTTATGGCTGGGGGGGGGGGGGTCTCTACAACATGAGGAACTGTATTAGAAGGTTGCAGCATTAGGAAGGCTGAGAACCACTGCTCTGGCCTCTTGTCTTGCCCGTGCTTACTTTGGTTTTACAATTACCAGATTGGACCAGTTTATAGAATTTTGGGAAATTGTTTCATGTTGTATTGGTACATTATTTTTCACCCCTCTGGTTTCTGTAATTTTTCAAATAAATTTCTTTTTACTTGTTTGGTAAGTTTCTGGAGAGTTTTGCCTGTATGGTCAGGGAAGGGGTATTTATGGATGTTTCCCCCAACACATCAACATTGGATGGCTTACCTCATTTTTAAGGCTCTTAGCATAGTCGTCTTCACAGGTTAAGAACCCATTAAGATCATTCAATATACCACAGAGGCATTGTGGGTTCTGTCCACCCTCCAGGTGGCAGGAGATGTGCAGAGGTTGTAATGTTAAAATAGCAGTGAGAGAGGGAAAGGCACCATGGATCAGGGTTCAAGCAGAGGGGTTTATTAAGGAACAGGATCATAAAAAGGGGAAGGGAGGGGGGACACCAGCCTCGGGGACAGGAACAGCAGCAGCAGCAGGAGAGAGAGAGAGAGAGAGAGAGAGAGACGAGATACAGAGACAGAGAGAGACAGAGAGACAGAGAGGGAGGTGGGCAGGGCCCTTTTAAAAGGACACACAGTGCATAGGCACAGTGCTCTTAGTGGCTGCAGCTGAGACAGATCTTGTCAGAATCCCAAGGGCAGGCCAGCACAAATGCCTGAATACTAACAGAGATGCCATGGGACAAGGGACAAAGTGGAATGCCCTATGACAGATGCATGGTGGTGACTTGTCATCAAATATCCAAACACTGAGTTGGCACCTAGTGTTATCAGTCATGACTAACAAGCTTGACTTTAACTTAGAAGGAACATAACCTTTATATCTAGATATGGTCAACTGCTTGCCAAATGGATCTTTTGTACATGGAAGCTGTTAAAGGAAAATTTTCACCGTTTCCATGGGGAAGGGTCTAACAATGTTCGAATATTAAAATGCAATAATTTAATCAACCATGTCTGGAGCAAACCATTTCATAGAGCATTCCCAGAAACTGCATCTGTAACCATGGTAGTTTGAGTCTTGTTTGTACGGAGCAGGTCATGATTCCTGTATTTCATGAAAGAGAAGAACTGTAGAATAGTAAAATCTTTAATTATATTTGATCCAAATACTCATCTTAAATATCTCATTCTAGAAACAATACTGGATTCCTCAAGTTCATGTTTAGATACGTTCCTTTGAAGGATTCAAAGATAACACCTGGTCCCAAATATGAAATATTTGCCTTCCTCCAGTTCAACAATAACTGTCTCACTAAATGACCTGAGAAGATTATGAAGTTACATAGGAACCCACCAAACTTTAGCATCTCACCTATGCATGGATGATAGACCATGTGAGCATCTTGGTCCAGTAAAGGCACTTTGATGATGACGACTCAAGAACATTCACCCTGGTGAGTGATGTCACTGGCTGGTTCTGTCTCAGTTGACTGTAGCAGAGAGCCATACTTCAGCCTCAAGGAACAAACTGGCTTCAGGAATAAATGTTCGTGATAATGGCAGAATCACAACAGACACAGACAGCAGGGGTCCATCCTGGGCACTTCACACAGTTTTTATTTCAACAAGCAAGCTTGGGACAGATTTGGTTAAATAAGCTATTTCACCAAACAATAAATGGCCTCAAACCCCAACAATCCAGAATGAAATATAGTAGCCACTTCCTTATATAACTGAAGCCTCTCTTTGCGTAGTTTCAATTATTTGTGGCCAAGATCCAGAAAACATCATGTGAAATTCTAGCAATAAAGAACCTATACGTTTGCAATGCATACCATTGTGAGTAGAGTGGTGTACCATGCTACTCTGTCTTGTCTCCATGGTATCTGCCTGCTACCCATATATTAGAGACTTAGCAGCCATCTTGGTTATTACATCAACTGTGCTGATAGTGCATTTCTTGGGTTCTTCTAGGCCTTGCTGTGCTGACAATGCAGTTCTAATCTGCCAAATAAAGCTATAAAGGGCTTGCTGTAAGTGCAAAGGGGCAAATGCTCAGCTTGGGACAAAAGAATAAATCTGAAGGTAAAACTGAAACGGCAAAAAAGCCCATGCTACATTGTCTCTACTGCCTCAAACTGGAAACACTGTAGCAGGTGAGAGGGGGGGGGGGGAATCAAATTGGTATCTGTTTAAGAGAAAACAGACTATGTGAGGCTGGACACTATCATTCCAGGAATACCCTCTGGGGGGAAGGGGGGGTCTCAGAATGAACAGTTGCACAGAGCACTCAGCAGTGTGACACCTAAACAAGCCTCGGGAAAGGTCACCCTTGCCTCATGTTCCCAAATGCCACCTTTCATTTTAATTGTGTTCATTTTTCTTCACTATATGCACAAAAAGATTTTTAGTTATCAAGATATAATAGTTTAAGTCGACTAATAAAAGAACAAGTTTTGCATCATTGCAATCTAGAATTTTTATCATCTGTCATTTTTCTGTGTGCTTTTGTTCTGTTCTCTTATCGCTGTGATGAAACACCGTGATGGAAAGCAAGTTGGGGAGGAAAGGGCTTATTTGGTTTACATTTCCACACCACTGTTCATCACTGAAGGTAGTTAGGACAGGAACTCAAACAATGCAGGAACCTGGAGCTCATGCAGAGGCCAAGGAGGGATCTGATTACTGGCTTGTGCCCAAGGCTTGCACCCCATGGCTTGCTCAGCCTACTTTCTTATAGCACCCACGGCCACTAGCCCAAAGATGGCACTACTCAGAATGCTCTGGACTAATTAAGAAAACAGTCTGCAGGTTTGCCTACTGACTGATCTTTTGGAGGCAATTCCCTTTACCCAGATGACTCTGGCTTGTGTCAAGTTGACACAAAACTGTCCAACACAGATTTCTTCTTCTCTTCCTGGCCTCTATCCATGCAGCCATTTGTCCCTTCTAGCTCAAATGGACCACTGCACCAATACACACTGCTATTGTCTCAACCTCTATGTAACTCCCAGTGCAGCTAGAGGATCTTACTAAAATCCATGTGTTTGGGAGCAGTGGTCCATATCAGCTATAAAACTACACTGCTGAGCATGGCAAGCGGGCTCCCCACCCTCTTCCAATTCTATCCAGTGATTGGTTCTCCACCCTAAGTGTGCTAAGTGTCTGGACCTTGGGGGTCAAGGCATGCAACCAGGAAGAGAACCAGCATCTGCCTGTCCCTTTGGTGGGCTACAAGAAGGACCATGCACAAGTCAGTGTTCGGGCCACTCAGTTCATGGTTGAGCCTTCCAAATACGCCTCCCTGGTGCCCATCTTTTTCTCATCCCTTTGAACTGAGTTGGGCACCTTATTTATGTTCTATGGGAAGGCATAGAGCTCCACGGGAGTCCTCATGCACAGCATCTATTTGTGGCTGGCATGCTGGGGGTGGGTGGGTAAGCTCCCTTCATAAACACTCTGTGTCTCTAAAGCAAATTTCCACGTAGCTCCAAGTTAACCTATATGAAGGTATTTTTCACTTATACAGGAACAAATTCATGTGGCCCAATCTACCACTTTAGGCAAGACAATGGGCCGTTACGCAAGAGAGTTTAAAGAACAGGACACACAAGTTAACTGAGAAGATTTAATTTCCCTGAGATTTTTATCCCATTAAACATATAAACCCTACTAGCCAGTGGCTGCCAAAGCTTTCTGTGGAAACAGATCAGCTAGACGGCTCCCCAAAGTGGTCCCTAGCAGGAATGTGCTGGGGCTGCGGTATGTACATATTCCAGGACATGGCAGTCTGTGAACCACACTTAGAACAGGACACCAAAATGAAGAAGTGAAATAAAGCAACATTTACCAAAGGAGACAAACCAAGAAACAACCATCAGATTAGGTAATCACTAAAGTCGCTAATACAGGACAAGAATGTTTCTTTAGATACCGGTTGATTCTAGTTTTCAGTATACCTCCACGTGTCTTACTAATTTTAAAGCCTCATTAAGTTTATAGGTTTGGCTTTAAGAAATAAAGTGCTATGGTTTTAGGAAACAAACATGGTCACCATACCATTTGTAGAAAACCTCACCATCTTTGAGTTCAGTCTTTGGAGAAACATGTCTGAAACCGCCTTTCATTACATCCGAAGGACGATACTCTTACTGTCCTTCTGATCCCAGTCTCCATGACAGAGGGCATGGTCATTCACGCCATGCTTTGGTCGCTCAAGAGTTCTTAGCTTTTGTGTAAGATTCACAGTGAAAACAACTTAAAAGAGAACTTTCTCTCTCTCTCTCTCTCTTTTTTTTTTTTTTATCTTTTTGCAGCGGAGGAGGAAAAGGGATGACGTTCAGGCTAAAAAAAAGTACATTTAACTCTCACGAATTTCTGAGGTTATCCCACCTACAACTTTTAAAACTGTGGAAACAGCTTTTCGGGTTTATAAATAGTAAACATTAGAGATAGTGCATTAAAATACCACTTATAACTATGCCTTACATTGGGGTGGAAATGGGCACACTTGTGGAATCATCAAGAGGGTTAAAGGTAATGTGAGTTTTGTGGAATATTGAAGAGGCTTGAGGGGAATGTGAATCCGGGATGCTTGTGAGAGGGCAGGCCCCTAGGCAGCGGTCCTAAACAATCCATTTAACCCCGTGGTCAACAGGCTTGCCCATGTGAGTCTATGAAGGCCCCTCCTGGGTACTGGTGGAGTGGTGGCTTAGAGTCACCGGGAAGGACACACCCACACTCCCATCAGGTAACCTGGCCCTTCCCAGGCACCACAGTAAAAGGAAATAAAGCAAGTAAGTGACTTTGAAAAGCCCCAGTGGAGCCGTCTCTCCAGGGCTTGGGAGAGACGGCGCCGCTGAGTAGAGAAGCCACCCAGAAAGCTGCTCCTTTCTAGTGTAGACTGATTTCCTGAGTGTCAGCAAAGGTGGTCCACCACAGCAGCGAGCAGTACTCTTAGGGGCACGTGCAGCTAGCTACTAAAACTCTGCTGTGAAACAAGCACATCTCAGTGTCCCTCTCCCCCTCCATGAGAAATGGCCACCAGAGCTTAAGACCCCAGATCTGGCCTTGCATGGCCTTTTTTTTTTAACTGATGGAGAAAGCAACAGGTTGGTTTAAATAAAGCAACCTCCTCCAAGCTCCTTCTGGCTCCGGGGTTTAGCAGGAAACCTGCACTCCAGAGAGGTGACGAGCATTCGATTAACACCGCACCTCTTTTCACTGAGATATTGCTTCTCCCAGCCTTCGGCGTACCCAGCTGCTCGCCCACCATTTCCGACTCTTTGTAGCGTGCTCTGCCTTGCCTTTCCCCAGCTACAAATGGTAACAAATGTCACCAGCCCAGGTGGAAGAGAAGCCACTCAGGTAAGCTGTGGATATGGACCCCTGGCACACCCGTGCTCAATCTAAACTTTCCTATCTGCAGCCGACTTCTGGTGGTCCGGCTGGCAACCCCGTGCATTCAGGTGCGGACTGGCCACCGCCACCTGGAAACGCCCGCACCTAGATGACCCACCCTCTCTGAAACACCCTTCTGAGCAGTCTTTGTCCCACTTCCCAGGTTCTAATTCTGCTTCTCCGAGTGGTCCCAGCCCACCCTATTCCCTTTTGAGTTCCGTACTCCCATCCTCACTGGGATGTGGTCTGTTCAGTGACATGATTAAAATAGCCACCAGGGCTAAAGCAGCGCCCAGGCTTGGGGGTCCACAGGGACTGATCTCCTGGGCGAGCCCTGAGAGGAGAGGGGCAATGATGCGGCCCACGGCAGTCACAGACTGGCCCACACCTATGACGGTGCCACTGGCCTGGGCCCCGCCGGCACTCAGCTGGAGGTCAGTGATGCACGTTCTCCCGATGCTGGTGGAGAAGGACAGAAGCGTGGAGGAGAAGACCACCACATCCATGGTGCGGGCCGCGGAGTAGAGCAGGAGCAGCAGCCAGGTGATTACGCTGGAATGCAGCAGGACCATGTACGAGTTGTGCTTGTACAGCCGTAGAATGGGCCCCACGGCGAAGCCAGCCAGGGTACCCAGCGCACTGGTGTAGCTGATGAGGTATCCTGTGGTCTTGGGCCGCACCCCAAAACGCTCCTCCAGGGCCAAGACGAAATTACTATAGTACAGCATGACCGCCACCCCCATCAGCAGGCGCACAAGAAATATGTCCCACAGCGCAGAAAATATGAGGCTCTTCACGTCCTTCAAGGCGGATGTGACTCCGACCCAGGGCCTCTGCCCTTGCTCCTCATTCCCCCTGGCCTCAGGGGGGGTGGTGGCTGCTCCCTGCAGTGCACCTTCCGGTTTCCGTGATGCTGTAGCACGCTTCTGATCTGAGCTCCAACCATTCCCTGCACTGCTGATGTTTGTTTCTCTCCAAGGTAACAGCCAAACGAGACCTAGTAACAGGGCAAGGGACCTGTTAATGCACCCAGCCCGCGGAATTCCTACAGTAGGATAAAGGAGTACTTGCATGAGATCACTCACCTGGATTTTATATTTTATTCTCTTGGTTATTGATTCCAGCTTCCCCACCATTCCCACGGTTCTGCGGTGGCATCAAGACCCACACGATGGACCCTTGAGCTTTATAAATAAACTACTGAAACTACACACACAACGGTCACTGTCTTCCCAGCTCAGGTGCTTTCCTCAACGAATCTCCTAATTACCTGTCTACCTGTCTGTCCACTTGTCTATACAACTGTATTAGCACACGCAGTTCAGCGTGCTTTTCCGGCGTGCTAAGGACACCATGAATGACAAAACCCTGCCCTCATACATCCCAAGCCTACATGGAGATTCAGACAAGTCAACAGGCAGCTGGCTTACAATGTAAGGGTCATGCCGAGGGAGGGGCAGGACGCTAGTGCAGCCATGATGGGCCTTGGCCAGGGACCAGGAGAGACATCTGGAAAGCAGTGGCTACTAGAAAACACCAGCTGGCTTCTTCACCACCAGGGCTCACCAGGTGTTTTCAAAGGTCACACCCGCAAAAAAACAGAGCTCCATGAATAGGGACCATGATACCCAGCCTTACACAGCAGACACGATCGCCACGCCATTCAGACAAGCCACCCATTGACCCCTAAACTGGTGTGCTTCCCTGCCTTGGGCCTTTTAGGACCTCTCAGCGATCCATGCTCAAAAAATTTCTTCAAGTTGAGATTACATTTTCTACTCTAAGACATTCTTCCACGTTTACCCTTAATGGGCTTTCTGCACTCCAAGTTCCATCTGGTCCATGCTGTTTTCAAACACCTCACGAGAGCTTGGCTTTGTCCAAATGCTGCCTTAAGGATTTCAGTCATGAGCGCCTTAATGGCAAGAGAAGGAACCGCGATTGATGGTAAACCTGGGAGTTGCTGTAGTCTCTAACCGCGATTGATCGTAAACCTGGGTGTTGCTGTAGTCTCTAACCGCGATTGATCGTAAACCTGGGAGTTGCTGTAGTCTCTAACCGCGATTGATCGTAAACCTGGGTATTGCTGTAGTCTCTAACCGCGATTGATCGTAAACCTGGGAGTTGCTGTAGTCTCTAACCGCGATTGATCGTAAACCTGGGTGTTGTTTCAGTCTCTTCTTATCTCTGAGAGGGCCATTTTATCAGAGAATCCTAATGAACTGTTGTTGATAGTCCACGAGGAAAGAGTACAGCTAAACTAATGAAATAGAGGATGGAGGGTGTAGCTGAGTATTTTAACAGAGTGCTTGCCTAATGTGCACAAGGTCGCGGGTTCCATCCTTAGGACCACACGAAGTGGAGATGGTAACATGCCTGAAATCCCAGCATCCAGGGGATGGGGCGGGGGAAGGATCAAAGCCAGCTTCAGCTCCATAACAGGTTGGAGGTTAACCTGGGCGGCAAGAGACCCTGTCTCAAAAATCATGATGATGATGCTTGGGTTAAAAATGCTTCTGTGCAAAGTCTCCTGGCAACAGGAAGGGGCTTTAAGCAGGGAGCTCACTCTGCAGTGCGGGAGGCCTCTGTGACTCACTGAATACCGCGGGGTATGGTGCAGGGACAGGGACAGGGGCAGCAGAGGAGCGGCCAAGCACATCGCCTGCCCTGGGTTGTAGAACAGAAGCATGAAACGGAAGTGGTAACAGAATTTTGAGAGCGCTACGAAAAACCCTTAGCGAGCTTTGTTCAGAATGACCAGGCAAAGGCTTCGAGTGAGGCAAACATCTGAGGACTGATGGACCAGAAGAGGGCTGGGAAAGACACCCGAGGAGAAAAGTGTCCTTAGCGCAAAGACGTCCTGGGGGAGCCGGCCTGCGTGGTAGTACCGGTAGAAGAGAGAGCTTGGCGTTGCCCATCTCCGTGTCGGATGACCAAAGCTTGTCGTGACCCTGGGGTCTGTGGCAGAAAAATGCATAGTTGCTCTTTTTTTTTTTTTTTTAACTTCCAGATTTCATCAAAAAGTTTAACAGACCAATTAAAAATAGAGTTGTTTTCATATAAATTATAATAACTAATATATATGTATACATACATACCATACAAAAGAATGGAATTGGTTCCTATCTTATGCCACACACAAAAATGAGCTCAAAATGGATTAAGGACGGCGGTAAGACCTAGGTACATAACACCCAGAGGAAAAGGGAGGCAGGCAGCTTCTGAGAACTGGGCTTGGCATTGATATTGCTGGGTATGCTACTAGGGAGGGAGACAGTCAATAGAAGCTTAAAGAGGCAGAGGATCTAGAGCAAACTAAACCCCTTCCGCACATCAGGAGGACCAGTCTCTGAAGTCAAAGGGCAATGTAAAGAACAGGTGTTATTTGCAGATCCAGTATCTGATTTTAAAAAAGAAAGAGTTAATAATACTGAGTCAGACAAAACCCCAGCATAGAGCAGGGGGTGGGCCACAAAGTCCCACTCTGGCTGTGGCCAGAGGGAGAGTGTAACTCCTGGGTTCTATTACCCTCCAGTGAACTGACCCACTTAAGAGCATATGGGCAGCAACAAATGATTTTTTTTTTTAAATGAAGACACAAGCTTATCGGGTATGGGGAACGGGGGAGTGGATCTTGGGAGAGATGAAATTTCCTCAAAATATAATGTATATGTATAAACAATTAAAATATAAAACTAATTTGTCTGAAGAATAATGGCTTCCCAGATAATAGGTTGGGGAAATGGTCAAAATTTAATGTTTTGCACTGTTGCGTACAGCCTACTTATGTTTTGTATTTATACCAGAAGCATTTCATATGTGTAGCAATATTATAGCAATTACATTTTGTAAAATGTTTTTAATTTTTTTTTTAAAGTTAATACCCAGGCTATACAAGGTATTACTTCAACTCAACAGCAGGAAGGCAAAACAAAATAAAACAAGATTTAGCAAAAGACTAAAAGCTTCTCCGATAAATGGTCAGCAAGATAGCACCCAACATCACCAATAAGCAGAAGTTCAGGCCAAAGCCACAGTAAGGCAGACGTTCCCTCTGCCTCTGAGGGGACTGTTGGGTGACGACAGCCACAAAATGATGTGACTGAGGACGCAGAAGAAAGGGAAACTCTTCTAGTCACTCTGAGAGCAGCAGCGAGGATCTTCAAACTAACATTCACTCTTGAACAATGACTCTGCCTATCCTATTATTATTTTGTTAATGTGTGTGTCTGTGTGACTTATACACACACAGTGAAGCCCACAGAAACCAGAGGAGGATGACAGACTCCTTGGAGCTGAAGTTACAGACATCTGTGTGCCACTCAGGTCCTCTGTAAGGGCAGCCAGAGTTCTTATGCCTTGAGCCATTCTCCTGGTCATAAGTTGGCCCATTCTGTATTCACACACACACACACACACACAGACACACACACACACACACACACACACACTTTCACAAAGACACAGAAGTGGATGGACTTAAGTGTATGTCTTCAACAGTCAACTCACCGGCATTGAGAAGGAAGACAGAGCAGCAGATAAGAGCTGTCAAGTAGAACCCACCATCCAGTTCCGTCAGATACCCACCAACCATGGGACCCAGGATGAAGCCTACACCTGAGGCTGTGTTGAACCTTCCCAGCACCAGTGGCCGCTCTTTCTCTGCGACCAGATCAGAAAGAAGTGCCCTGGAGATGGAGAGGGTGTGTTTAAAAACACCTGCAAGGGAGAAGAAATGTGCTCTGTAATTGTCTGCACTCTGAGGAGCAGACCCTTCGGGGCATCCCTTCCTCCCTGAACCAAATGGAGTTCTTGCTACCATTTTTGCTGGCTGGACCACTAAGGCCTGCAGGACTCACCCCATCATAAGTAAATAGAATCTGGAGCCAGCACCTAACAACGGTTGGTCACTTCATCTTTAGCACTGGGTAACTTAGCTCGGCCAGATCTCCTCACAACACCCCAACGTTCCCTGCCATCCAGTGGAAATCCCTGGTCTCGGGCAGTCCAAATATCCAGAAACGAGCTCAATCTGAGCTATAGGAAGATTTCTGGCAGTTAAATAAAAGCCAGAATTCCTCAAAAAAACAAACTTGAGAAGCCAAAACCAGTTCCCATCTGCCAAAGGAGTCATCTTCCCCTCTGGCAGAAGGGACAAATGGCTCCCTGTGGTTCATATTCAAAGCACGTGCCAGCCTCCAGGTTCCCTCAGTATCATAAACACCTGCTACGCACACTTCAAAGTCCATGCTAGCATCCCACTCACGGCCTCCTCTTCTTTCTGATGGCAAGGTTTTCCCACTGCCCTGGTCTTCCCGTTGTAGCCTCCCTTTTGTTTTCTGTCTCTTGCTATCCATTATTCTCATAGTTTCTCTCATTACGTTCCTTTTCTCTGTCTCCTACTCTCTCCACTAATCTCTCCTATCCTCCTGGCCCTGGCTATGTCCAGTCTACTGGCCACGTTCAGTCTGCTTCTCTGGATACGTCCTCTCAAGGATGAAAACCTTAACCAGACAATCTTACTCACTGTAAACTATTACCGCGCACCTGCCCTGTGCCAGCACTGACCGTAACCCGTGTGTAAAGCAAGGAGCTAACCAAACGGAACAAATTAGAGACAGACAGACAAACAAGCAAACAAAATGCCAAACACAAACAGCTAAATCCATGCTCGTGGAATGGGGATTTCTGTATGGGTAAAATATAGAGAGTGCATTAGGAGGTGATGAGGGGCGTAGGCAGGAACAGAAGAAAGAATGCCAGGTAGAGCAAGAGGCACTCTCATCTAAACAACACCCTGGCAAGACACTAGTGGATCTGACCGTGGCCGTGGCTTCAGGTCGCCAATGCCAACGGCCTCCTACTGGCCCGAGACTTGTGAATTTGTCTGAGAGCTACCTGGTGTCTCCAGCATGGCTATGTGCTCCAGAGGCTTATCTAACATACATGTGAGGAATGCTTATGAATATACTGACAAGCCCTGGGAATGGGCTGCCAGCCACTTCGGTTGACATGTAATAGGAACTAGTATAAGCTCCCTGCCCATCATTCCAAGCTGTGACTGGACACAGCGGCTTCCGCTGGTCTCCTTACCGTATCTTGTTTGGCCCAGCATGCTGCCACCAACTGAGTCTGCTCCAAGCATCTCACTCAAAATGCGCATGCGTGCACTGGACACACTGGATGGCATTTCTGGAAACAAACTTACAAACCCCTTCTAGGATTACACAGACTCTTTCTAGCCTTGCTTTCTGAAACGTGAGGAAGGACTGGGGTGAGAGAAAACTTTCAAGACATCTTTAAGGGACTTGGTGCATTTCTTTGAAACTACATCCATGCTGGGTTAACTTATGAGGGAAGAAGAGTATCGGGAGAATATCCTAGAAACAAGTCAGGGGAGGGTTCTTTAGAGGTTGTCAGTGGAAGAGCACATGTCCAGTGCAGGCACAGCGTCTTCGGGATAAGTTTCAAGACACAGGACCTGAGCCTACAACTGATTGCAAAACCAGAAAACCCAGCAAAGTCCCCAAACCCTGTGAAGGGTCAGGCCTGGGCAAGAAGGAATCTACGACCACTCCTGTTTGTGAAGATCATAATTCCCGTATACTAGAAGCACTAGGCCACTCGTACTAAATGAAAATAAGTCCATCTTCCTCTCAAGTCCCTCTGCCTGCTTCGCAAACAAATCTAGGTTCTCACTCATCTCCCTCACCAGTCTGTGGAGAACACAGGAACAGGCCTTAGCACAGAATGGTGGGGTACAGTGAGAGACACATTGGGAACCAAACAATCAACCGCACAGTAAATGCATGTGAGCAGCCGTTAACTATAACCTTGAGTGCACTGGTGGGGTTTGTTAGGGTTGTGGATCGCGCTCAAAAGCAAAGTCACCCACACAGATGAGATACGGGTGCGGTACGAAAGCCTCCAACAGCATTCGTGTTCCGAATGCAGGTCAAACGCAGGTGAGATTTGGTGCTCTGGATGCCAAGAAAGGCAAGGAGGGTTACCGTTTCCACAGCAGGCCCCCACATACCACACACGTAAGGGCGCAGTTTCCAACAGTGGATAAAACATCTCCATGAAGATGGGAGCGATTACAAAGTGTTAGAAAATAGTACCTGCAGTCTGGAAGGAGGAGACCAGCCCCAGGTCTCCTCTTGGAAGAGGAATGTAGACTCCTCTAGTCAGCAATCAGATTTCCAGCCACTGAGCTGTGTCTCAGTGTGACTCAGTGCTAGCCAAAGACATCTCACATGTTCTCAATTGTCTGAACACATGTGGAGAGGTAGGGCAATGGGAAAGAGACAGGTCAGGCGCGGCAGAGTAATTCACCCCTAACGAGTCTCTGACAGGCTCTGTCACAGGCTCTGAAGGGAGTCTGGGGTAAGTTACCCGAGGGCCTGCCAATAGTAACTGCTCAATAAACAGCGACCAGTGGTCAGGCAGTTACTGCTGTCATTACTACAGCCATTGGTCTTTGCAGGGTAAGCTCTGATCGGAGAGGCACTATCAATAAATTGCAGTTCACAAAGAGAAATACACTCCTGGGAGTGGGAGCAGAACTCACCCACAGGGACTCTAGCCAGCGTAAACAGGAACACGTTGGTGGATACTCCAAGGAGGAGATAACCCAGAGCACTGAGCAGAATGCACACCAGCAAGGAGGACCTTCTTCCGACCACATCACTCCAGCAACCCTGACAGGAACAAGCAAATAATCTCCAATAGCGGGCACCACACTCTACCACGCTATACCACAGCCCGCCCTTCCCATCTTCCGCCAGCGCACAGTGGCTGGTGGCTTTTAGGAAAAACAAAAATAAATAAATAAAAGTCATTCTGGAATCTGAGATTAGGTGATGGAGTCAAATTACTTAATTTGAGTCTTAATTCCTTCCAGTTATAAAAGGGAGGTAGGTAGTGGAATGTTACAAAGTTCAAATGAGAATAAACTCGAGTGTTATGTAAATTTAACATTTTTAAAGATGCATTTATTTTCACTTTAGGTGCCTGAGTGTTTTGCCTGTATAGATGGATGTCTGTATCACATGTGCATGGAGTGTCTGAGGAGGTAGAAGGCACTGGATCAGGCTAGACACAGTGGCACATGCTGTTACTCCCAACAATTGAGAGGCAGACAAATCTCTTCGGGTTCAATACCAACCTGGTCTATCTAGGGACTTCCAGGACATAAATAGTTATATAGAGGCAACCGGTGTTAAAAAAAAATAATGAATGAAAGGAAGGAAGGGAGGGAGGAAGGAAGGGAGGAAGACAGATATTGTATTATCTGGAAATGCAGTTACAGGCAGTTTGAAGCTGTCATGCAATGCTAAGAACTGAACCCAGGTCCTCTGAAAGTACTCCCAATTGCTGAACACTCTTTATAGTACCTACCAGTCTAGTGTCTTAAAAACATGAAAGAAAGGTAAATGATATTATTTTTATTTACCCACCTAACAATGTATTATAAAATCTTACTCCATTTCTGTTAAATTAACTCCCTCTTAACCCCTAGCAAGGAGGTAGCCAGGGGAAGCATAACTTTGCTAAATATGAGATGCTAGCCACGGCGAGAATAAGTAGATGACTATGAACCTCCAGACTGATGGACACTGGGGTCTCCAGGATGCCGCCAGCAGGCTGCACAGGGGAACAGACAGGGATGCTCAACAACCGTCTCTGGATTTCAGACTACCAAATGGACAGGAAGAGGAAGAAAACCACCTCTGAATCCCTCTACTCCATTCATCCGCTATCTAACCAACCTATTAAAGCAGCTTCTATTGAGTGCTATCATGTATACCAAGGCACTTAGCTCAACTTCCATACAGAATGCTAGAAATGCAGGTGGGTTTGACTGCTCTCAGCTACAGAAAATAAACAATGGGCGGTAATTTCTGTTTACATTCTTTTCTCCGGCACAAAAATCAGCCCCAAATCACAGGGACCGCACATTATAAATGTAATACTCCTTCTCCCCAAGCTGTACTAGTGGCTCAGTGTGTCTTGCAGAAGAAGCCATTTGAGTCCTTGAAGCACACAGCGCCCTACTCCATGTCTCCTATCTAACCACTATTCTGCAACCTTCAGAGAAGGCCCTCCATTTTATAAGCACCCTGGCGGGCGACCCGGAGTGGCATGTGACTGTGTGTTGGAGATGGGAGGTAGGGCAGAGGACAACTTTCTGGATGGAGGGTGACTTACCACAAAGGTGCTGGAGAAGAGCTGCAAAGCACCGTAGGAGGAACCTGAAAGACAATCAGTAATATTAGAAAAGCCTCTGGGGCGTGGCTAAATGACTGTGTTAACTAACAGTCAGGTAGGAAATAAGCAATAAGCGTGTGTGTGTGTGGGGGGGGGCTACATTGCCCTACAACACTTGGCAAAAATTTTTAAAAGCTTTCCAAATAAAATGAGAGCAAGCAGAAGAAAACGAAGAAGGCAATGGCTAGTCTTAGGCAAGGACCCCCGAACATAGCGCTGCTCTGTCTTAGGGAGTAAAACAAAATCAGAATCCTGGAAAAACAGGACTGAGCTCTGTTTTTAACACCAACTCCCACTTTAGAGAGGAGAGGATAAGTGGATCCATTATAATCATGACTGGAGATGCCACAAGTAATACACGGCAACAACAATAACAAACAGTTTCATAGGTTTAAAAAGAAGCCGCTTTAGCTATATAACAAAGTTCTAAGTAGTTCTTTACCCTCCTTTGTTATGTACCAGGCCCATTTGGCTGTTCCTAAAGGTCTATATGCTACCAGGTGATCGGCAAAATTCAATGCACACATCTTGAGGAAAATAAGAAACTGAGAAGGGATCAGGGTATACCAAAAGTGATGTAGAAAACTGCCCAGTTTCTTCTCCAACTTGTGAAGGATTCAGGGGCTGTTAGCACTAAGGGTTTTTCAGTATTTAACATGCACAGTTCTAAGCCCTGGATACGCCTGCCTCTTGGACAAATCAAATTTGGGGTGGAACTGCATGCTGCATGGGCAGAAATCCCATGGGACTATGAGTCGCTCTGGTGGTATGGGAAGCTTGGAACTAATTTCCTTTGCCACCAGCTATGACTTCCAAAAATTGCCCCTACGGCCTCATACTAAATTCCAAAGCTTTGCTCGTGGACAGGAGGCCATGTTCCACCTTCAACATACACACACAACCCAAACTACCAGAGGCCCAGGAAGCAGAGCTACCATCAGCGTGGGATGTGGGAAAGACTCAAATCTCAAAGCCTTCCTCAATGCAGGTGATCCAGGAATAGATGAATTTCACTCACTCTGGGGTGGTACTTAGAAACGTTCTGGAAAGTCATTTCATTTCCTATTCACTTCAGGGTGACGACGGGTTAAGGGCTGAGTTATTTTCAGAGGACTTGGAATTGGGTGTTTTGCAAATAGACAGCATTAACCACTTACCCACCACTCCAGCAACTGCAGGACTTACTCCAAGGGACTTGACATGGAGACTCAACAAAGGAACAACCATACTGACACCAAACAAGTCCTGTAAAAAAAAAAAAAAAAAAACAAAGCCCAAAGTTCCCAGTGAGTTCCGTGCCTGGCAGTGTTTAAAATGGTGATTCTAAAACTGTAAGCCAATTTCAAACTTAAAACCCAGAGATACACTCCTGAGCAAAGAAACCATAATGTCCGCCACAAGGACCGGGTGAGACATGGAATCCAGGTAAGTCTAGATGCCTGGACAGTCTTGACCTAGGATCAGTTTCCATCACAGCTTCTTTGTGATTGTGATTGGCCCCAGGAGGATGTGCAGTGGAAGCCCCTCCCTCCCCTGAAACAAAGCAAGAAAGAACTGGAAAAAACCCTCTGCGTTGTGTGGATAATGTAATGTATGGATATTGGTAAAGTGGCTTTTGCTTCGGTACAAAGCTCCAGTTACAGGAGGGAGCTGATGGACCAGAGCCTGTACTTTTGGAGACAGTTCTATTTGCGTAGCTTAGCATGGCATCTTGCCTCAGCCCCCTGAGCAATGGCATTACTAATCTGTTCCACCACCCCAGGCTTTAAAACCTGATACACATCAATACCTGGTGAGCCCAGGAGACCATGAGGAAGACAGCAGGCTGGTGAAATATTGATATCTGTAGACTAAGGTAATTTTGAAAATATAGGCTCATCAACAACAGCTGGTGATGTTATTTTAGCACCTTGCGAGTTTAAAATAACACCTTTTTTTTTTTTTTTAACCAGGAAAGCTGGCTGCAGACTCCTCCTTCTCAGGGAGCTCTCATCTAAAATCCCTTCTCCTTTACTGCATATATGTTGTAACCATTCACAAGGAAGCCAGCTAGATGGGACCACCTAACCTTCCCCTGGGCATCAGCATTTCCCCATGGAAACTGAAAAATACAGTCAAGCTTCGGGGGACTTTTACAGGGAATGAAACCCAGTGTTTCTCCGCTGGTGGGTTATCCCAAAGGAGATGGACTGTCATCTGCCAGGGGCTGGGAAGAGGGAACAGAAATTGACCAACCGTCTGGAGAAAAGGGGATAAAGTCACAGACCTCAGCACTGTGGATGGACTGTCTTTTCCACCGCCAGCCCAAAATGAATGACAAGGAGACTTCTAATTGATTATGAAAGCTTGGCCTTTAGCTTAGGCTTGTCTCAAACTTAAATTAACCTATTTATATCAATCTACACTCTGCCTTGTGGCTTTTTACCTCTCTTCTATACTGCACTTCCTGTGTCTGCTCTGTCCTTTGAGTCTCTCTCTCCCAAGCCTAGATTCATCTCTCTTCCCCCCCACCCCCTTCCCGGAAGTCCAGCCTACACCTCCTGCCTAGCTATTGGCCCTTCAGCTTTTTATTAAACCAATCAGAGTGACATACCTTTACACAGTGTAATCAAATATCTGGAAACATTCTACCACAACACAGCACCATCTTAGCTCAATAAGCAAAATGAGCCAATAGTTCCCACGAGCTTGCTGTTCCCATGAAACAAATTAAAACCTCAAAATGTCAAGAGCTAAAACTAGAACACTTGGCAAACGACTTCTACTTCTCTAATCTTGTGTCCTTCCTCTTCCAACCGGAAATCAGTTTCCCAAGACTTTGGGGTCACTAAATATATGAAAATAATAGTTAAGCCGTGCATGATACCCTTAGATGTAATTTAATAAGTCAGAATTAGCTCCTTCAAAGATATATAAAACTGCATATAATCAAACTCTTTACAAGATTTTTCACTGAAAAAAAAATCCCTAATCTTTTCAAAAAAAAAAGTATTTGGAAATCATATGTATTTCTCTCAAGATATGCTCTTTAATATATTATTCTTTTGAATATATTACTACATTCCTCAGAATTTTACAACAGATTAGATTTACCATGTGCACAGCATATGGAAATCATGGGAGAGGCTGTGACTACCCAAATCTGTTTTGGAAAGCCACGCATAATGAATGATGCATGAACTGGCTTTATTTCACTGTCATTCTGAAACTATTCTGAAGTCTGGCTCCCTGTAGTTGCTGATACCCTGTAGGTAAAGTCTGGATGTTCCAAGTGATGGCTTAAGTTCTTTGCATCTGGCACAAGTAACCTAGGTGCCCTCAGCAGTAGAGCCTTGGTAGGCTGGGGATATACATCGCCCCAAGTGGATAGCAGTCAGCAACCTTTCCCAGAAGAAGCCTCACTCACTAGACTGAAAGTAAGCAACACCTACATTCTACTGCACAACCAAAACCAACGAAGGGTGGTGAAGGGTAAGGGGTGGGGGTAGAACCTGAAAGTTCACTACAGATGGAGATGTCTCTAAGATGTGGTCTTCTTCATCTCCTGGCTCTGTAAATACAGACATTTGGCGCTATCTGTTTTCTTTAAGATCCTATCAAGTATTAATTGAACAACCTCTACCAACTGTTGGACAGTTTGCGAACTGAACAACCAAACAACCAAACCTACACTTGAAAGAGAAATGAAGGTGAATTATGGTCCCAGACTACCAACTTAACCTCACCAATAAGAGTAAATTCTCTGGAAGCAGCTATGATGACATCAGAGCTCCAGGGCATGCACCACATAGCAGGCATCCAGAAGTTCCATAAGTATTAAATTAATAGGACGATGGATGGTTGGAGAACGACTTATTAAGCTTCTCATTTGTACTGGCTGGTTTTCCTATGTCATGTTGACAGGAGCTACAGCTATCATCGGAAGGAGGAGGAAACGCCTCCTTGAGATCCAGCTGTAAGGCATTTTCTCATTTAGTGATCACGCGGGAGGGGCTAGCCCTTCGTGGGAGGTGCAATCCCTGGGTCCTAGGAGCTTGTGAGAAAAGCAAGTTGAGCAAGCTCTGGGGAGCAAGCAGGTAAGCAGCTCCCCTCCAGGCCCTCTGCACCAGTTCCTGCCTCCAGGATCCTGCCCTGTTTGAGTTCCTGCCCTGACTTCCTTCCTTGATTAACAGCGATGCTGAAGTGTAAACCAAATAAACCCTTTCCTCCCCGGCTTGCTTTTTTGGTCAGGGCGTTTTGTCGGAGCAGGAGCAATAGAATCCCTAACCGAGACATCACTCTACGAGGGAAAAAAACTACTCGTGAACCAAACTAAAATACACATGCACACAAACTATCAAAACAAAAACACGTGCCCCCTTTTTTTGCCAAAAGCCAATTGTGTGCAAACCACCGTGACTTCCGATTTCAAACTTCAAGGCTGCCTGTGCAGCTGGGTTCCTTAGCAGCGACTTCTCGACCCCTGCTGTGGAGGAAAGGGCCACGTCCCTGCCGGTCCCTACCGCACCAGCCCCCCCCCCCCCGAAGCCTGTGAACTCTGCCCTGCACCGACCAGTGCACAGAGCAACTGCAATCACCCTCCAGAGCGGCTGGGTCAGCGGCGAAAGAAAGGGCAGAAGGAGACACCGGGCCCGGGGAGGGACGTGCAGCCAGCCCTTCCTGCAACCCTTGTCTTCTACAGGCTCAGCGCTTTTGCCCAGCCCCGAACCCGGCACTCACCAGAAAGCCGACCAGGTAGAGACAGAGCAGGAAGCGGCGGGATCCGGCTGCCACGGGTGCTGCTGTCGCTGGGGCCTCCGCGGTCAGCCCCTTCCCCGAGGCTCCTCGCCCGCGGAGCCCCACCGCCATCCCCCGCGCGGGCCGGGGGTGCGGACGCCCCTGCCACCGGCAGGCCACGCCCCCGAGGTGGGCACGCCCAGAGTCGGCCACGCCCCAGAGCGGAAGCGATCGGCGTGCGCCTGCGCAGAAGGAAGGCTCGGGCGGGCTGCGGGGCGGCCGCTGGATCGCTACCGCGGGCGGCTTGGTTCGAGAACGCCTGCAAACGTTTGTGCCTAACGAGTGATGCCGTCCTTCCTTGATCCCCGGTGCTGCAAGGCTGGGGGGTTGGGGGATTGGGGAGGTGGGATTGTGTCTTTTTTGCTAGTAGGAGGTATTCCTCCGTGGTAGCCCGCTCGGGCTTGAAGGATCACAGACCCAGGACCCCACTGCCAACTTGGCTTGGCAGACTTGGAGCAGGTTAAGGTGGCGGCCGAGGAATAATTACGTGCAATAAACGTACAGTGGACGAGTACACAAAGTTGCAGGCCACACGGCCTGTGGAAGTGCGGGCCACGAGTGTGCAGACCAACGAGGTAGAGTGTGGAATGCCGCAGAGCCGCGCTTTGGGAGAAGCTAAGGCGTCCAGGCTGACAGGAGTGGCAGCAAGATGCGCGTGACTTGCACACCCAGACAGACAGATCTGGAGTAGAGGGGGCTTCAGTTACCTACAACCAGAAAGGCCTCCGCAGAGCTTTGCGGTTTCATTCTGAGAGCAACGGAAGGAACCGGGTGGAGGTGTGATGTTAAATAATGTACCGGGGCAGGTAGTAAACTGTTCGCCATTTATTTTTCTACTTACTGGTCCGTTTGCTTATTCATTCGCTTATTTATTGTTCTCTAATATATATATATATATAAATATATATATATATATATATATATATATATATATATATTACATCCCAGTCATAGCTTCCCCCTCTCTCCGTTCCTCTCAGTCCCCATCCCCGCCTCCCCTCTCCCCGTCATTCATTACTGGTCCATTTGCCTTCAGAAAGGAGCAGGCTGAACATGAGGGATGTGTGTGTGTGTGTGTGTGTGTGTGTGTGTGTGTGTGTGTGTGTGTGATATCAGGTAATATGCCTTGGCCTGGTTGTGGCTGACTGGCTATGGGATCTGTAGGAGTAAAATGTCCAGCACCTGCATTTCTTAACTTTTAGCACCGAGGAAACTAGAATTAGTAGTTCAAAGCCTGACTTGATTCCCCCCAACTGAAAAGAACCACACCTTCACCCAGCTAATTCAAGTCATAATCGGAGCCTTCTGACTGAAGAGGACAGGAAGGATCTTGTAGCATTCACATGGCTCCAGATGGTAAACCTTCACACTTAAAAAACACAGCCCTTTAGTAGTGCAACTTTGCTAGTTAGCTAGCTCTCCATGATTACAGCCAAGTGGCCAAGAATCTGTAAGGGGAACAGTTTCCGTAGGCCCACAGTTTGGAATGTTTTTAGTGTTATGGGCAGGGATCTGGGTCCAGAGGGCACTTGCTAAAGTGTCCAGGTTCCTGTGTCCCAGGGCAAAGCATTGCACAGGAACAGATAATTACAAGCAAAAGCAGAGAAAATTAACTGAGTAGGGAAAAAACAGTCCTGGAAAAGGGTGTGTCCTAGTGATAGGGAGAAAACCCTATGCTCAAAAGCACCGGGCCATGAGGCTTATGGACTCGGGACTGTTGACACGGTGCGTAGCTGGCCCCCATTTTTGTAGTGTGGGCGTTACTCATTCAGGCTCTGTTTGTTGTCATGTATTAATCTCGGTGTGGCTCCTATTCTGATAACACTAGTCCAAGAGCGGTTCGGCCTGTTGCTCATGGCTTGTGCCAGGCAGCCTATCATGGCGAGGCTACTACTTTGTGGATCTAAAGCAGGACGCAGCAAGGTCCCACAGGCTCACCAGGGGCCTTACTGGGCATGCGTGATGCAAACTACAGCCCTGGCAGAAGAGCGTGTAAAGAAGAATGTGCTGGTTTGATGAGAATTACTGGGCATCATCTTTGAATTGACATTAATGCTCAGGGTCTTAGAACGCTGCTATGTTCCATCAGCCAGGGTGGAAGCATTATTTTGGGAGACCCCAGGTCCATTTTCCCAGAATCAGAAATCTTCTTGAAGAAGTCACAGACCTCCATTATGTAAAAAATGATGCAAAGTGTTCTAGTCTGCTGCCTCTTGCTGTGATAAACAAACGTGACCAAAAGCACAGGGAGGAAAGGCTATTTCAGCTTACAGTTAGAGTACAATGCCTAGGGCGGTGGTTCTCAACCTGTAGGTCACAAATGTCCATCATATCAGGCATTTACAATTCATAACAGTAGCAACAAACTAATTCCATGGTGGTGGGATCAACAGAACATGGGGAAATGTACTAAAGGGTCACAGCATTAGGAAGGTTGAGGACCTCTGCTCCGGAGAAAGCCTGGGCAGTAAAACAAGTCACGATATTATTCGGGTTGCATAATTCAGTACCGAATAATGTTCTTCAAATGCTGCTTGGTTCCTTTGTGAAGCCCTAGCATGAGATGCACAGAACAGTTCTCTGAGGTGCCCTGGCAGATGCATGCCTTCTTTAGCAGATACATATTGTTTTGAATTGCTTAGCAGCAAGCACGCAGCCAACAGTGGCGTGTCCTCTTCATGTGTGCTCTCTGCGGCTCTGAACTTGTTTCTCATAGATGCTGTAAAAATACATGGCCACAGAATTAGTGGTGGCAAACATCAGCCATTTGTTCTTTTGTGGCATTTGGGGCATGGAAGCTACGGTCTGTATCACTGATTTGAAACCAAGGAAGGGGGCAGAGGGCTGTGCTCCCTGTGGGGATTCTCCAGGGAAAGCTATTTGTCCATTTCCACCCCCCCTCCTCCTGATTCTGGTACTTCACTCATTTCTTGGCTCAAAGCTGCATGAAGCATCCTGTACTTGCATTGTCTAGTCTTTTGTGACGAGTCCTATCTTCTACTGTCTCACTCTTTTAAGATTATATTTAATCACACTTAGGGCACACTGGATGATCCAGGGTAACCTCCTGTCCTAGTTAGGGCCATTTGTCAACGTGACACAGCCCAGAGTCATTTGAGGGAGTTGCCCAGATCAATGGGAAGTCTGTGGAGAATTGTTTTGATTCTTTATTGATACTAGAGCACCCATTCCATTGTGGATGGTGCCATTCATGGGTAGGGGATGTGGCCCTGGGTCATACAAGAAAGCAAGTTTGAGAGCAAAGCAGAGAGCAAGCCAGAAGGCAACATTCCAGTAGGTTCCTGCCTCTAGGTGCCTGCCTCAAGTTCTTGCCTTTGCCTTCCTAAATGGTAGTTATAACTGGAAGTGTAAGATGAAACGAAGCCTTTTCTCCTCAATTTGCTTTCGGTTGCCCTACCATCACCCAGAAGAGACTGTCTTTGCTGTGCATAAGAATCATTTACAGAAGGCTCTGTTGCAATGGCAGGTGAAGGAAACCTTCAAAAGGAAGTGAGTATATCTTATGTCTGGGGCATAGAGACTGTGCTTTGGGTCAGAGAACCTTTATGGTCTGGCTACGGACATAGCCACCGTCCATGAGTTTGAACAGGAAAGGGTGAAAAGCACTGATTGTTTCCAGCTTTATAGCTAGCAATTCATTGACAGATCACAGCTCCCCAACCTAACAACACTGAGCTCTTCTGGTTTGGGTGTTTTAGTTCCCAGGGAGTCAAAGCAAAGTTTGTTTTGAATTAGAGGGTAAAACCACAATCTGGACATTGTGGATAAGGTTACTCTTCGGCTGAAGTAATAGGTTCTAATCACAAAGAAGGAATTGAATTCACATTATGCAAGGGGAGAAAGGCCGACATCTGCAAAATGGGCCTGGGGGGAGGCTGGGAAGGGAAACTATTTGCCTTGAAATCACCAGGGATTCAGTTAACTAACACACACACACACACACACACACACACACACACACACACACACCACACAAAGGTATGGTGAGTTTGTAACCCCGTGCTGGTGAAACAGATGGTTCCCTGGTGCTCCCCGGCCATCCAGCCTAGCAGCCTTTCATGGACAAAGGCCTGTATCACCCAACTAACTGAATAAAGCCAACTTCGAGGCCAAGTGAAATACCAGCTGTGAATAGGGACTATAGCCAATGACGATGCCCTCACATTTAGTTGCAGAAGTGATGACTGTTAATATTCCTGTTTTGTTTATCATACACACATGCTACATGATAATGGCCGCCTGACTTCTTCAAACTACAATTTCTTGTGCAAGTATTTGGAGTTTGACCTTAGCTTGATGAAGTGACCGGCCATACTGACTAAACCCGAGGGCCAATTAACGTAGATATTAATGAGCACTGGGACCCACATTCTTCACTAAGTGCAAACTCGGAGTCTCTGCACAGAACTGGAAAGTGGGCACGGGTGTGTTGGTGCACGCTTGTAATCTCTGCATTTGGGATGCAGAATCAAGAGGATAAAGAGTGTCCAGATTATAACAAGCATGAAAATAGAAGGGAGGAGTAGCTGGAGAGAGGGACGGGACCAATAGAATTTGGGGACAGGGGGACAAGAGACAGTAATGTGGAGTGAATATGACCGAACTACAAATGCACGTTTAAGAAAATGCCAGGGTGATGTCAGCTATTACATATTATTAGCAGACGCTAAAAGACATGCTTAAAAAGAATTCAAGGTTATCTTCAGTTGCATAGCATGTAGCCTAGGCTACATGAGACCCTGTATTAAAAGAACAAAGCGAGGGGAAAAAAGAGGTAACTAGAGAATAAATACATTTGTCAGCTTTGTAGGCAAAAGATGGGCAGTGATGGTTATCAGTTGTCCTCCGCGGCGCCAGTGAGATTCCCCTCCTTGCCATGCTGCTTAAACCCTTTCACCATTATAGATCGGTGTAGTGTTACGCTTGGCCAACAGGTGGTGCTGTGGGCAACCGCCTGAGCCAGGGCGTGCATCTCTTACTTCACCGAGTGTGGCAGCCAGGAAAGACAGAACCTGTCCTGACCCTTCGTCCCCAGGGGCGTTCAGTAGCAC